ATCTCTGAGGCTTTGAAAATGAACCCCAGTGTCTCTGCAAACAGGATGCTCTTTGTGAGTTTTAATTGGAACCAGTCATGTCTGAATGCTGCAGACTTGGAAATAACGTGACTAACCTAAGAAAGCTATTCAAGACCTATCTGCAAACAGTATTCCCCAGATACACGCGGGTGAAGAGCTGACTGGGATAAAGGCCCAGCACGAGCTTTTGCTCTGGACTTGAACTGAATTGAACCAATTTTTTGTGTGTGTGGTGTTCTGAAGGCATTTGGGTGCGTTAAGTATCTTCATCTCCTTTCCCTAGCTTGGCAAGAACTGGATGCAAAAAATATTCTAAGACAGGTTTTTGCAGAGGGGGAATTGAGTCATGGAGAAGCTGAATGCCCTGTATTTAAAGTCTGTGTTTGTCTTTACCCTTACAAAACTGACGGTAGGAAGGGGTGGGGTGGAATGAAAGGGACATTGAATTTGTTCCCTGACCCTGTAATAGTTGCGTTGAAGTCACCAACCTGGTTGAGAATTTAATTTCAGTTTTGCCACTTGGCCATGAAGCCCTAGCTAACGTACTTGAATATGTTTTTGTTGCTGTGTTTTCAGTAGAATAGTCTGCTTCCGTAAGTACTCCCTTAAAGCCTTTGGCTGTTGTAAGGAGCCTTCTCTGGACATAGGTGTTGGGCATCTGCCTTTGCATGTTACTGTCTTACCAGTTTATTTTAAAAAGGTTACCAGCACCACCTTGGCTGCTCTGATGGGGTCTTGGAAGAACGAGGTGAGAAAATCCTGATGATTGTGCGCTCCACCCTTGTGGCAAGCATGAGCTGGGCCCTTCCAAAAGCTGTCCCTGAGGACAGCCAGGGTGGCTGCTGCAGCTCTGGCACAGGATGGCAAAGTGCTCTGGGAGGTGTGCTGTCACAGCCCTCAGAAGCAGGGTGCGGTGTTTCACAGGTCTGCGGGGAGGTTTTGCCAGGCCCTCGCAGACTCCTCCACAGAACTGTTCTACAGTCTCAGTTCTGTTTTTATTTTAAATTTCCTCCCTAGGGCTGCAGGAGGATTCTAAAAAATGTGACACGAGTGAAAACCAACACCGTGATGGCTCCCTGGATTTGCAAGAGTTGTGGAATATTAGCTCAGAGACCCTGGGCTCCTTTCCCTTCAGTCAGTCTTGTGGGTTTTGCAATCTTTTGGGTGTGGAGTACCTTACTCTACAAATTCAGTATTGTTCTCCTAGAATTTGCAATTCTGATACAGGTGGGAGGTTGAGTTTTCTCTTTCTTTCTTTGTCTTGCCTAGAAGCTTGCTTTCAATAGCTTCTTAGGAGAAGGTCTTCAGTGGATTATGTGCTGCTTATGTGCTCCTTGGCCCTCCATTCTTTGCAGGTTTTCTCAAAGTTGGAGCAAATCAGTACAAAACACTCAAATTAAATATGACAGTGTATCTTATTGTGCCATGATGCATTGGTGTATGGAAATTCTCAAAATTAGAATGAATGGAAGAGCAGATGGGCTCTGATCAGGAAAACCATAAATTGTAAGTCTCTCAGTGTGTATTGCTTTGTGGTTTGCTTTAGTTTTCTTTTAGACCAGCTTTAGGAAGTTAATATCAACCGTTAAACCTTTCAGGCTATCTTCCCCCCTCTTCTTTCTTCTGGTTTAGATGTGAATAAAAGAGCTTTGTACAGTTCTTGAAACTGAGCCTGAAACAGCTCTGAACAAAATATAGTGTTCCTTTCAAGATCTTGGAAATAATTACATCATAGGCAAATTGGGCCAGAAACCGTTAATGGTATTCTTTGTGGAACGAAATCTCATGGGAGGACCTATTTCAGCAGACTGGCATTGTTTACAAACAGATACAGTGACGGATACAGTTGTCCCATTCTGAGGGCAGCTGAAGCTTTGTGCCATATAATAGACTTCACAGAATAAATGTCTTGCTTTTGATAACAAGCTGAAGACGTGCTTTGCAGCTTCTGTGGTTGCCCTCACACTGATGATCTTGGGGAGCGAAGGCTGTCTTTGGCACCGGAGAAGTATTTGTAGGTGGGTTAAAGAGCAAATAAAAGCCTGTGGGGATTGCTTGGTGCTGGGAGAGAAAAGAAAAGCATCCCAGTGGCATGGCTGCAGGATGTCTGCCTGCTCAGAGCACGGCGATGGTGCAGGCTGGAAGATGCTGTGGATGCAGAGCCTTGCTGGCAAAGGGCTTTCTGGAGCACCATGGCTCTGCTGGGCAGCCCTCCCTACCCTTCAGTCCTTTTCAATGCTGGCTCTTTTTTCCTCGTTACTGGAAACTCTCATGCATTTCAGGATAAAATCACAAAGATCATTAACGTTAACTGTTTGACCTAAATCTACAGAAGCGTTTAGTTCTCCAGGTAAGTAGGCTAGTCTGTACTTGAAAACCAGATCAGCACAAACCCTCGCCTAGGCATAACTCTTGCTACTCCCTGATGGTACAAAGCACATTGTTGCCCACATACGTGCTGCCATAGGCATCCGAGCCCTATTCCTCTGCCATCACAGCCAGTCTCCCAGTAGGTCTCTACCTGGGTGGCTGGGCTGTGTCGGCAGAGCCCTCTTGTGGGGACCCGACACATGCCAGTGGACCAGGATTTTCTGTGCCCATTGCTTCTGTGCTTTCCCAGTGATGTGTTCCAAGCGACAAAAGCATCTTTCTGTCTGCCAGCTGCCTCCAGCACACAACTTGGTTAACTTCGGGTGCGTGATCTCTTCCACGCTTCCAGGCACGAAGGCGAGGCTCTGGGGACCACCAGCTGGTCGGTGGGTGCCTGAGGTTCAGCCTCACCTCTCGTGGAGGTGAAAACTCAGCTGGAGGTAAGGGCTAGCAGTCCACAGCAGCCTTGAGACCAGTGGTAGACATCCCCTTTGGCAGGTGAACACCTTGTTGATCTGCCAGTGGAGCAATTCTTTGAGGTCTCCCGATCTCTCTGAAGGCAAGGCCTGCCCAGTTAACTCAGATCACTAATTGAACACAAACCAGTTGATGAAGTCAGCTGGGAAGAGTGCTCATACAAACTGCTCCCCCAAGGGCGGTGAGCAGATGGGCGTTGGTGATGTCTTCAGGTATGTGTTGGTGAATCGAGACCTCAGGATCCCTGCTTTGTGCTGTGTGTGCTGGGGAGAGGGCTGGACCAGCTTGTGCTGGGGTTAATCAATTGTGCGACCTTGGGGATGGAGCCTGGGGTCCCTTGGGGATCAAGACGTTCAGAAGCCCAGCTTTGTAGACCCAGAGACTAATGCAAGATGGAGATGTGAGGAGCATGTTTCCTGTATTGTTCTTATCGTTAGGCAGATGCTTTGAATCCCAGATCTGTCATTATGGGATCTTGTCTAGATGAAATTAAAAACATAAATACAGTAGTTCAAAAAAAAAAAAAAAAAAGATTGGTTTATGTGTAGTAATTTGAAAATGGTAACAAAGACTAAAATGCCCACATCATCATGAAAACAGGCTAGAGTAAAACCATTTTTCAGTTGGTCATTGAGTGTTTATACGGAAGGAATTCTCAAGTAAGGCAACGTGGGTTTGATTATCCCCTATTAATGTATCATCCGGAAATCCTGGCAAAATTTCAGCTGTAAATGGTATTCTAGAGAGCTTTAACCTCAGTTGTGGAAAAAAAATAAAAATAATAATAAAAAAAAAATGAGGCAGCTTTACCTGACTGAAGTGAGCACAATGGTGCTGCTACTCATCGAGATGCAGGACCTTGTTGTGTGACAGTCACTGCCTTTGGCTGATGCTCATGAAGAAAGCTCTGACTTCTGCAGCTAAAAACATGAGTTGCCTCATCTCAGATTGAAGAGAGGAGCTGCTGACTGCACTAACGTGTTATCTGTGAATCAGCACACGGGAGGATCCACCCGACAAGCACAGTGGCCTACATGTGCCTTCCTTAAATGGAGCTACATTCATTTTGGAGGGGTTGGAAGGCAAGGTGCTTGGAGAATTGTAACCTTTAAAAATATGCACTAGAGCCCACATCACATCTGATCTGTTTGAAATCATACTCTATTTTCAGGTCTTAAAACAGTCGGAGTTCATTTTACCAAGCGCTGGTTGTTTGTTAAACCAGCTGGCTAATCCAGGCTTGAATTTTAATATTTAGGATACACTGGAAAGATCAGGAATTTCAAAAGCAGTACCTGCCTTGTGTTTCCCCACCTTGCAAATCTTGTATAACAATTTCTGGGTGTTTTTTTTTTTTTTCCTTAGATCAGTAACCCTGTTCTCAGGGGGTCAACAGAAGGCTGCACATGTCCCTTCCTTCTGGTGTACCGTGCTCAGGACTTTATGGTGCTGTGCTCAAAGCTGTGCCACAAACAACCCTGCAGTACCCGTGTGGGAACAGGACAGAAAGAGGAAGACTTGAATGTTTTCAGGATGTGATCATTTTCCTGCTTAGGTTTTGACTGATTTTAAAGCCAATGCTTTGCTCATTTTTATGTGCAAAAATATTTTTAATCGGTGCTTCTGAATAAATTTCCTTTGGCAAGATGGTTCCTTTTGAAACCCCCCACTCTCAAGAGTAAACCCTCTGCAAACACAAAGTGGGGAGGGAACAGATCTTAACGCTTGCTATCTATACCAGCCCAGCATCCACCCTCTTTCTGACATCAGACAAGTGGTCCGCTAGTACAAGACAGTTTTAGTAAGTCATGTGAACTTGGCTTTGGAGGTCTGGTTCTAGAGGAAGGTTTGGTTTGTAAACAACTGCATAAAAAAAAGTTGTAAATATTAAAATAAATAAATAAATAAAGCTTTTTTTTATCCTTCTTAAAGTCTTTATTTTTGAAGTGGTACAATGATTTTTAGGAATTAGTCACTGCATGTATTTATAGCAAACACAGTAACCTTATTCAGAGCAACCCTCTAGCAGACAGGCTTATTCCAGCAGAAGGCTTTTTTCTTTCCTCTCCTCCCCAGGACACTGGCCTTGGCATCCTCCCTTGACAGGCATGCTTTCTGTTCTGCTTTTGCAGGAGGCTGTGAGGGCTGCTGAAGATGTCCGATAGTCTGGATATTGAAGAGAAACCTCCAGCCCCACCGTTGAGAATGAACAGCAACAATCGCGATTCTTCAGCACTAAACCACAGTTCAAAACCGCTCCCCATGGCCCCTGAGGAGAAGAACAAGAAAGCCAGGCTTCGCTCCATCTTCCCAGGAGGAGGGGATAAAAGTAAAGTATCAGCAGTGCGAACGGGTGGCTCCACCTTTGTCTTGCTTTCTGTCGGTTGCTGTGTTTACTTTCTGCCTCTGTTTTCTTTCTGTTTCAGTTGCAGAACATGGTAATTAAAAGTCCTTCCAAAGCCTTCTGTTCCAATTACTCTAGTAACATGTTTCAAAAGAGGAGGAGGTGTTCAGTCAGTTACTTCTTGTCTTTGGGAAGCCAGTAAAACATGCACGCACGTTGTGCGACTTGCCTTTTAAAAATACCTCTACAGTTAAGTTGGGGAATCCTTTTCTTTGGGTTTCGCTTTGGGTTTGCAGTAAAAACAGAGCTGAAGTTGCGTGCTTTGCAAAACACATTTGCAGAAGTGCGAAGGCAATATGCCTGACACTTTTTTTTTTTAATACACTTGCATTCCATGAACAGGAGCAAGGCTTTTTGTGCTTGTCGCTTCTGCAGTGATAGATGATGCGGAATGGCTTTGTTTTAAAACCTGCTGGGTGTGGTCACGGAGAGAATCTTTTAAACAGCATTTCAGTTGCATTCTTTAAAATGCATTGGTGGAATGGGGTAAGTCTTGAGTTAATGTATTTTCAGAATCAAGGAAACTTAATCCTCTTTTTTAATGTCATGGGACCTGATGGGCAGCACCCATGAGTGCTGAGGGAGCTGACTGATGGCATTGCAAGGCACTCGATTATTTTTGAAAGGTCATGGTGATTGGATGAGTTGCCTGACAACTGGAAAAAAAGTGACGGGCCCTTCTGTCCTCCAGAAGGAGGATCCAGGGAACCACGTGCCAGTCAGCCTCACCTTGGTGCCTGGGAAGTTAGCGGAGCAAATCTTCCCGGAAACCATTTCCAAACCAATAGAGGACACTACTTCTGTGGCCAGAAGTAGTCAGCATGGATTTACAAAGGGGAAGTCATGGTTAACCATCCTGACAGCTTTCTACCTTGGGATGGCAGGCTTGGTGGTGCAGGGAGAGCAGTGGGTATTTTCTCGAGTGAGGTGCTAACACAGCCTCCCTTGGTACATCCTCGGAGAAAATCTGCTGAAGCACAATGTAGGTGAGTGGACAGTGGGGTGAACTGCAAACTGGTTGAAATGCTGGTCGCAAAGCGTTAGGATCAGCGCCGTGAAATCCCGCTGGAGGCCAGTCATTTGCAGAGTAGCCCAGGAGCTGAACACTGGGGCCAGCAGTGTCTGACCGCTTCAGTGATGAGCGGGGTGATGGGACAGGCTGCAGCTTTCTCGGCAGGTGTGTGGGTGATGGAAAACCAGGAGGAGTGATTGACACAGCAGATGGTGTGGCGCAGAAACCTCGACAGCCTGGAGAAATGGACAGACAGGAACCTTGTGAAAGTCAAGGAAGGGAGACGTAGAGGGCTGCACCTGGGCAGGAACAGCCCCGTGCACCAGTACGCACTGGGGGCATCCAGCTGAAAAGCACTTCAGAGGAAAAAGACACGGGGACCTCGCCTGTTGTGCCCAGTGCAGTACAGAAGGCAGCGTAAACAAACTGAAATACAGGGAATTTGGGGTTGAAATTTACACTTCAAGCATAACAATTTTTTTTGTCGTTGTTTAACTGTGGTTATGGTTGAACACTGAAGCAAGTTGCCCAGAGAGGCTGTGAAATCTCCATCCTTGGGGGTATTCAGCTGGACACTGTCCTGGGCAGCTGCTCCAGGTGGCCAGCTAGGAGCAGGCCGTGGGGCTGGGTGACATCCAGGTGTCCTCGCAGACCCCGGCCATCGGTGACCTGCTGGACCATGCCTCAGGCAGATCTGTCAGGTTCACCCTGCAGAGCACTTCCCCCAATGTTTCCTTCTGGGAACAAAATGAATTTTCAATGGATGCTTTTTAAAGGCCAGATTTAAAATCCACCCCTGCTGGTTTGATTCCCAGAATGGCTCGGGTCACTTCTTCCCCTGGCTGCTGGCAGAGTGGTTTGTGCCTCTCCGAGGGCATGGCTCTAAAGCAGGAGGTGCAGTGCGAAATGTGTGTGGAAACAGGGAGATCCAAAAACGTCCCCTCCTGGAAATGGGCAGTGACATTAAAAATAGACGTAATTAACTATCAGACAGAGCAGTCTTAGGAAGCATGGAAGAGTCATGGTTTTAAATGTGGCTGGGAGGGAAAGAAAGCTAAGAGTTATAGCTTAATTTTGTTGGGTGAAATAATAAATGGAGGAAATTTAACTGGGCTGGTCAAGCTCCTTGAGGTGGTTTCATCTCATGGTCGGCTTCTGGGTCAGGACATCAGCTGGCGAATGCGAGCTTTGCAGACTCACAGACACGTTTTTGAGACTCCTGCTTATAAACACAGAAGGTGATGAAGACGGCTGCTCGCCCTGGGTGCAACGCTTTGCATCCTTGCAGATTTATAGGGATAGCCTGCTGCTGGTGCGAGCACACAGAACGTGAAAACACCGTGGCAGTGTGTTCGTGCCTAAAGCTGCAGGAGCTGTGTTGCCTTTTGTTTGCTCCCCAGACAGCAGGGATGCGAGGATGGAGGTGGTGCTGTGCTCCTTTCCAGGCAGGGGTTTGTGCTGGCACTGCTGTGCTCAGGGGCCCCCACTGTTTGTGCTCCTGGAATGTAATACCTTGGTTTTCAGGTAGGGTCTGAGCACTTCTGCATACAAAACCTTGCTTTGGTAAGCCACTGATGACTGTGCAGGGCCTGCCTGTGTTTCTCCAGTCAAAGCAAGCCACTGAAGTCGCACCTGATCTCCTTCCATCCCTTGGTACAGCTCCTCTCGCCCCATCGCTGGGGAAGGCACCCCGTTCCCTGGGGCAGGAATACTGAAATACATTCCTGGTGTCACCTGGGATCTGTGTGTGGAGCAAGGAATCGAACCCATTCCCCGTGTCCCATGCCGACGCTGTGACATGGGCCATTTTCTTCGGAGGTAGTGGTGGTGGTGGGACCACGGTGTTTCCTTTCAGCAAAGTGCTGGTGCCTCAGGAGACCTGAGAACAGAAGGCAATGGCTTGTGCTCTCCCAGCGGTTTGCATCCAGCCTTGCTGTTCCAACCCCCTGCGATTGCTGTGCAAGAAATTAATGTCACATCTGAACCCTGCAGAGCACTGAACCTAAGGCAGTCAGAGGGGGCAGGCCCAGCACGGCTCAGATCCTCCTTTCACCTCCAGAGGTACGTCTGTGTAAAGACCACTGGGAGTAACATCGCTCCCAGAGAAGGTGCTGGGTGGAAGGAGTCTGACCTGAAGTCATCTGGATGCCTCCTGTCCAGAGAAAGGGCAGAGGAAAGGAGTGAAGCTCCAGGTGTTTCAGATCAGTGGAGGAGAAAGAAGAGGATCAGGCTGCTGGGGGGGCTGCGAGGAGATACTTAATTCTGTGTGTAGTTTACACCACATCTGCATAGGGGAGCCCTGAGAAACAGAGGAGCCAAGCGGTGAGGACGGAGCTGGGCTGTTTGTCCCCGCAGGAGCGGCCTGGAAAGGCCGAGTGCTGCTGCTGCTGGAACGTTTTCTCGACTGCCTTGTTTCACACACAGATTTGACTGTTGCTTTAAACTGAATTTGTTGACCCTTTAGATCTAATTTTCACCGCATTTGCTTGCAAATGATGAGGTAAGGAGAAGTCAGCGTTATCTACACCAAAAAGTTCGGTGTGCTGAACAAAGATGGCATCTTCGAACTGGCAACATTTATCCTGAAAATTAAAGCAATGCCACCTTAGAGATAAAAGAAGGCAAAAAGCCTCTGCATTCATATGTGATACATTGCTGCTATCCTTATTGAATGCCAAGTGAAAATAATTCATCAGTGAACATTGTGTAGGGGGCTGCAGTACAGCCGAAAGGTGGCAGTTAATTATTTAATGAGGATGAATGCAACAGCGCAGGGAAAGAATTAGAAACATCCCAAGTACTCTGGATTTTAATTAGGAGGAACAGACCATCTTCCAGCTAAACGAGGCTGCAAGGTAGAAGAAGAAAAATGAGGCAGGAGAAGCTTCCCTTTATAAGCTAAAAGACGACTCGGAGTGGCTTGCTGCGGGGAGCCGTGCTGTCTGGGAGCAGAGGCAGGACGGGAGGGGTGCTGGTGCCCTGGGAGCTCAGCCCTTGGGTGAGGAGCTCATGGAGTGGGCAGATGTAATGCTAAAACACGGGCTGATGACGAGTCCGTGAGCAGCAAAGGCTGATGTGACAGAAGATAGATTTTGCAAAGCTCTGTCGTGGCTGACAGCGGTGTAAAGGGGAAGCTTGTGCTGGAGCTTGCAGCATTGTCTTCCTCCAGCTCTTTCGATGTGCAGAGCAGGGCTGGCACTGGCACTGCACAGAGGGAACATTGAAGGTAAAGATGGGAACTGAGCGATTGCTCCTTTCCCTCCTGCTGGTGTGTAACTGTGGCACACGTTGTCATTTTCCTATTATCGTTAATAAATGGTCACGCAGTGGCATTTAGAGATCCTGATGGAGGGTCCATTGAGATAAGCCCAGTATAAACATCTCGTACAGCTCTGGGTTGCTCAGTTGTTAGCACGAAGTCCTATTTCACCAGACCTACAGACCAAGCTGCTCAGGGCCGTAATGAGGATACCTACAGCAGGGATACCTGAGATGAACAGAAGGATGGCAGAGGAAAGGCAGGACCCTGAGGTGCAGGGTGCTCAATTTATAAACATAAGATGATGCCGTTTTTTAATTATTTTTTGCATGCATGCATCATGAGAGTTTTGCATGTGTCTTATTTCCTGAGTTTGCATTTCTAACTTTCCCATCCTACAAGTGGACACTGTAATATTTGCTCCATTCCCATCGCTAGGATGTAATTTTGTCACTGAGATGACAAACGTGTTTGGTAGAACAGCAGCTTCCCCCTCAGCTGTTACACCCCTGGCACTAAGGAGGATCCCACAGATGCTGTGCACGGGATTGTTCAACCACATGGTGGTCACTCCCGGAGTGTGTGGGTACTCCAGGGAAGCCAAATAATTCAAGTGCTTGTCAGCAGAATGAGGATTTGAACATAGGTTTATGCTGCCTTCAGCTGTGTTTGGGAGTTTGCCAAACACCCTGCCTGTTTTCACAGGACTTTTAGGAACCTGGCTTATCTTTAAAACCTCTCCCCTCTGAGTTGGCTGACTTCGTCAGGTTCAGAGCATGGTGGGGCAGACACGCGTGCAGACAGGCTCCCACGTGCATGTCCTGGAGACTTCTGCAGGAGCCCAGAGAGCAAAGTCAAACAGGAATTCAGTGGCTAGATAGGAAAACTTGGTGGAGAAAAGAACTGATAGTAGAAGTCATACTGGGTAGAGGTGGCATAAGGAGACTACTTGGTGAACTTAAATTCCCTTGCTTTGGCACCTGTGACACCGATTGGAAGAAACCCAAAATCCAATATCACCTTCTAGACCTTCTCAAAGTGGGGGCTGACGTTCAGGCTGGTGTTGTATTGATTGTCAAGTAACCTTTGAACTGTTACCCAGTTTTAAAACCCTGTTTTGAGTGCACATGATTGTGATATTTTTCTGAATGAAAAGCTGTACAGAAAATAAGTGCATGTTAACGTTTTGCCCCTAGCCAACAAGAAGAAAGAGAAAGAACGTCCGGAGATCTCTCTTCCTTCAGACTTTGAACACACGATTCATGTGGGGTTTGATGCCGTCACTGGAGAATTCACAGTAAGTGACTGCTATGTTGCATGTTTACTAAAACTTCCGCTTTCTTGATGGTAAAATAGCTGCCTGTTGCCAGAAACTTCAGATGACAACAGCCAGGCTGTGAAGAAAGAGACCTTTATTTTTTGGGCTTTTAGGGGTTGGGGTGTTTTACTTCTGATTCAGGCTGCTTTTTTTTCTCCAAGGATTATCAGCAGAGTGTCTGTGGAAAATGAAAACTTAAGAAAAACATAGGTGTCTGCTTTTACCAGTCCCGCAGGCTGGTTGTTCAGTCTTTGGGAAAGCACCAAAAAACCCCGCACACGTGCATAGCGTCTGTCTTGCTGTAGACACTCAGCCCCAAAGTGCAAAGTCCAGCTGCTCTGCAGACAGCTCTTGGAGATGCTGAGAAAGCAGCGGCACTGTGGAAGCCCGTTCATTTTAATTCAGTAATCTTCAAACTGTGCCCGTTAGGCTAGGTGAGCAGATGAATATCTAGCCTTTATGTGTTAATAAAGTAGCAGTCAGCTTTTTTTCCTTATATCACAAAGTACATGAAGCATTGGGAAAATCGAGTCTGATAGAAGCTCCTTGAAGTCTGCAGGGGACTTCAAAGCATTTTCTCTCAGACTGCTGGCTAGGGGCTGAAACCAGCACTCAGCGAAGCTGAGGTGGCAGTAAGCTTACACGTGGTTGAACTGCGGAGGTGAGAGGAGACATCAGCAACTCTCCGTCCCATCGGTAGGACCCCGGGAGCTAAGTGGTCAGACTGTTCTCACCGTATGTCAGGCTGCGGCGTGTGCTGCATACACCACGCAGGATGGGACAAATCACTCGCTTGGACAAAGTCTGCTTGGTTTCTGGAATTTGAGCCCTAAATGTTGCTTCTTCATCACTTTTTTACTTTTGTTGCTATTTTTGCTTCTCAAAAGCATTTCAGGAGGCTGGAAACTTCCTGTACACTTCAGCAGCAGCAGTAATGGTACTAGCAACAGGGAAAGGAAAAGGACGCACAGAATGAAAAAAAAGTGTCTTCAAAGAAGCAGTGAAACTGGAAAATTCTGAGTAACTAGGAAACACAGCTACATTTAAAATATGTAGACTAGTTAATTAGCTTTAGTTTAAAAAAAGATAAAATCTTTCAAAATTTATTTTTGTGCTGAACCCTAGTGCTTGATTAAATACTCATTTAAAATATGCCAATGTGGCCATTTGCGTTCAGAAACTTAGCATAAAAGTTTAAAATTGTGTTTTCCCTGCTACCCTGCTTTTTCTCTTTTTCCTCTCTGCCCCTCTCTGTAGCCGCTTTATTGCTCAGGTTTCTCTTCAGCACCATTCTCTATCTTGTTACCACGTTACACGTTCCGCTTTTGTTTTCTCCATTTTTGTGTTGGAGTTTCTTACTTCTTCCTTCCTTCCTTGTTTCACTGTTCTCCCCACTGAATGTTGAGCTATTCTTCCTTTCCTCTATTCTTTCTTTCAGCCTACTGCCTGTATTTCTGCCCTGTGCTTCAGACTTTTTCCTTCTTGCTGCATGCAAACGCAACGGGTCACTAACTACCTGTTCTCTCCTAGGCTGGCTGGTGGCGAGGATCCCAGTTAGTTGTGCACCCCTGCCAGCTGCAGCAAAAAGGAGGGCAGCAGAGCTTAACGCACTTGAGTTCTAAGTTCCCTACCTACTTCAGAGATGAGGGTTTGAATCAGTGCGAATATTATTGCTATTATCCACTCCGTCAAAACAGTCTGTAGCTTTGGAGTTTGTTGATTTTCACGAGATGCTACCAGCACAGGTCCTAGCCCTTCACAGGACAAAACGTGGCTAACTATTCACTGTTACTGCTGTAGCACTACTTCTTTTTAATACTCTTTGAAAATAGCAGACATGAGACAGCTACTGCTTCTCACAATGTTTCTACAGCAATTCTTGTTCCTAAATTGTGCAAGTGCAGTGCTGCACATCGGGAAGGCTCCGACCAATTTAAAACGAACCAAAGGGAAAGGTGACTCCTCCCATGCAGCTTGCCAGCACAAGACTGAGCTCTGCCGTCCTTAGTGGAGCAAAATGTCAGTCAGCAAGGGAGTCGCGCTGTTAAGAGCTACCTGCCAGCCCCCAGTGAGTCTCCAGATGCAAGCATTGCATTTCGTCTCACGTCTGACATGTTTGATTTGTCCCAGCCTGGGTCCAACTGGTGTATCAGCCGGGCAGTCCTGCTGCAGGGGCTGCCAGTAGCCATACCCCGTACAAATATTCCCACTGTCTAGTGACAACACTGTCTGTCTCCTTCAAAAGTTTGGAAGTGCCATGGGAATGTGCAATCCATGTGCAAAAATGGTTTCATGGTATGTTTTTGTTTGTTGTTAAGTTTCAGATTATTCCAGTTGTCATGCCATTAGTGTTTGCTCTGCCGGTTATGTGCAATGCATCGAACCACGTTTTAACACCTAACAGGCACCCCCTGGCTGCATCACCTGACTGCCCTTAGTTGCATCTCAAAGCAAAGTTGGGGACACCTGCATGGGCTCCTGAGTTTTGGCTTTCAGCCTTGAGTACCAAGCTGCGTTGTTGCTCATGAATGTATTTTATATCTCCATTTCACCATGCTTGGAGCAACCCCACTTGCTAAGAATTAGGATATAAAGCCCAAAATAAAATTGGCTCAAAACTGTTGGGTGGGAGCATGCTTCCAGAGCTTCATATCGATTGATTTTGAAGAAACAGTTGCATTTTCTGAATGGAGGAAGAAGTGTGGTTTGCAGGGCTTTGAGTGCATCTTGTGAGGCATGCATTTTTGGAACAGTTTCCTGATCCCCAGTCTAGAATAAGACACGGTCACCAACCAAACTTTTAAAGTTTCAAGATTACAGGATTTGCAAGTGGGAGAAAGGTGTGGCTAAAGCTCCAAAGCTCACACATGATTAATTCAATAAAGCCTTCTGAATTGCCCCAATTTTCAGACTGGCACATGTAGGTTATTTGGATTATGACCACACACAACCTCCCAGTGTGAAATCTGAGTTTGACCAGCTGCTTTCTCCATTGCACTTTGTTGACTCGTGCAGTGGCCAATTGTGATCGTGGGGCTGGGGAACCATTGGAATATCTCGTGTAGAGCCATTCAAAATTGCTGACCTGGCTTTAAAAACTAGACAAACAGTAAAAGCCCAGATATTTCTCTTTTATCTTTATTTTTTAATTAAAAAAAAAAAAAAGAAAGAAACCACGAGCAATTTTTCTAGTCACTTGCCGTAAATCCTCAGTAATGCATTTTTAGAAGGGAGATTAAAACTGGCTTTAAAAAAGTGAGGAGGGGGAATGATGCTTCCAAACTTTGGAACGGTCGTGAGTTTTCTGTTTTCCTAAGCCTGCCTTCCTGTAGCCTGTCCGCCACCTATTTGGTACCTACCTCAGAGCTCCCATTTTAGATGGGACTTTCCCCATTTTGGCCCATTGGTTTCACCTCCTACCACCTTCTAAGTTGTCCCACATTCTGTTTTAACTTTCTTTTCTTTCTTTATTTACGTCCATTACAGCCAGATCTCTATGGCTCACAGATGTGCACAGGGAAGCTCCCAGAGGTGCGTCACAGGCCCAAAAGAAGCTTGCATCAAAGTGCTTCTTTGAGATGTCATAGCACTGCAGCAGCAGGTTGATGTGTGTGCAGTAGATTTGTTGCTTGGCTTATCCCACTTTTTTTTCATTAATCCCAAACTCTGGAGGCCCATGTCACACATTGTTTTGCAGAGAACTTCTTAGGAAGAAGCCATGTTAAAATGTGTATCTAGGTTGGGGTGGCACCAAGGGTAAGCGTAAATGCACTTCAGGTGTAGTTTGTCATTCAGTAAGCCCTACAAATTCGCTGGTAGATGTTGGCTGTGCAGTAAATGGGGAAAATTATAGGCTCTCAAATTTAGGAAATTATACTGGATATTTAAAGCAATGTTTGTTAATACAATTCCAATGAAGTGATTTCAGTGGCTTTCAGTGATTGGATCAATTCTCAAATGCCACCCTTCCTCGTTAGATGTTTGAGAATTCATACAAGGCATTGGCACTCTCAGCCTGTTTTCTGAGTCCTGAATTTCTGCAGTTTTACAGTCAAGAACTTACAGAGCTGCAGGAGCTCAGAAAAGAGACATCCTTAGCAGCAGTAGCTGTGGTACAACTCAGTGTTACAATTTTGAAAATTTAAACACAGATGCTTAACCCCTCCGTGTTCCCTGATAATGCTGAAAATTGTCTTATCAGGGTGGGGTTTACCTTTTAATCAGACAGCAGTGAATCATTTCAGCAATGTGTTTGCATTATTAAGCATTAAAAATCCAGTGTAAAGCTCCTAAAATACACTGTGTTGTCCACAAATACAGAATAGTCTTGTCATGTCTGCACTGAATCACCAGGAAAACGAGCTAAGCCTTAAATCATTATTCCATGGAAGAGCAGAATTGATTTAAAGATGAGTTTCATGCACTTTTTTTCCTGTCACGATCATAACTTTCTTTTCTTTTTAAAGTTGGATCCTGGTTTTATCTCTGTATTTTGTTAGAGAAGAGAATGATAGCATCTACTGTTTAAGCTTCTAATTTTAATGTAAGGTATCAATCAAAATTTCTGAAAGTAACCTTACAGGTAGCATGGGATCTTGGTAAAGATCTGTACAGCTGCAGCTCTTAAATACTCTAAATTAACATTCTTTCCCCTTGGCATCTACAGGGCATTCCAGAGCAGTGGGCCAGGCTACTACAGACCTCCAACATAACAAAACTAGAGCAGAAGAAGAACCCACAAGCAGTTCTAGATGTCCTCAAATTTTATGATTCCAAAGAAACAGTTAACAACCAGAAATATATGAGCTTTACGTCAGGAGGTAAGTTACCATCTCACTGCAAAAAAAAGGGATGTCAGGCCCCTAAGGCAGTCAAACTGAAGCTCAAGAATGCTCAAGAAGTAACCTTATAAAATTACTTTTACTGGGATACTCCTGAAATGAGTTAATTTCCTCTTTTGTCCACGAATGTCATTGAAACTCTAACTTTTATTTGTCTTGTTTTCGGAACTAAAGATGCTAGACAGTCACTGTCATTTTTATTCAGAAGCATCAGCAGCGAGAGATCATGTTTACTTCTATTTTATGTCTTTCCGTTCTTGTTATTTCACAATGTTCTGGGCTACAGGGCACACCCGTTTAGTTCATCTTATGAATTACTGTTGGATCCTAGGAGCAATATTTTATGGAGTATGAAGAATTTTTGTGAAGAATTTTATGAAGAGAAGAATTTTCAAGGATTTTCTGTATGAGCTGTAGAGAAGTCCCAGAGCAGTAATGTCCAGAGCCATTTCTGTGGCATTACAGGAAGATCCTCGTGATTTAGGCATTACCATGCCAAAGCCTGCAAACGTGACAGTGGTGTCATTTTTCCCATGGTTGTGTACAGTCTGAAAAATTGTAGTCTAGAGTTGCAGAAATGAGAAAGCAAGTCTGCGCTGTAGTTTGCCTTTTTTTTTTCCTTTGGACCATTTTTTTTTCTCATTTCACTAATCAAGCTCTGGCTCATGACAGGCCTAGCAAGAAAGCAGAGGTGTTTCTAGATGCAGCACATCTGGCTTTTGTATTGATGTGCTCTGCTATTTCTTAATAACTGAGATGCATTTAAAACAGAAATGCCAGTAAGATGTATTTGTTTTGGTAAGGCTTGTGTCAACAGCTTCAGCTGATGAGGGGGTGTCTGTCCAACAGGGTGTGGAAAGCATTCGTGACTTAGCCTGCAGTGGTTCAGTTCCTACACGTGATAGTCTGTGGTGCTGGAGTCTGTAATTTCCTCAGTTTGCTGGTTCAACCAATACTCCCAAAATGCAGTCTGGGGCAGCTTCTCAGCAGATCTTCTGAAAACCGTGCAGTTATATCCAGAAAATATTAACATTTGTCTCCTTCTTTAAAGGAAAGCATCATTAAATGTCTGCTAAAATAGCAAGTACTTCTGTGATGAAATGCAAAATTCTAAACAGTTAGTGTATGCTCCTGAGCTCAGTATTACCGAAAGTTAGAAGGATGAATGTATTCCTGTCCAGCATTAAAAGGATCTAACATCTTAATTAGCTGCTACTGGGCTTTGTCAGAACAGAACCGACCTAGCTAAGGGGAATTCTGAAGCTTTTATGGGGACACATGTGCAGCAAGCTAGAGAGAATCAATGCATGCAATTTATTTTAAAAACAAACAAAAAACAATAACTGCTTTAGCTCTTTTGGGCAGTGGAAGCATTGGATATTGAAGAAAAAATTGTATTTGTAGAAAAACAATACCCTGGTATATTGTCCTGCTTCTCGCTTTCTGTGTAAAATAACTCCCGTTACTGGAGGGATGTTGCAAAAGAAAAATGATTTCAATTTGGATTTACTCGTTCTGTGGGATTCCCCACAACGGATGCTGTTTTATAACGGTGTTAATTTTCCCTTGCACATTGCAGATAAAAGCGCCCATGGATACATAGAAGCCCATCCTTCGGTGAGTGTGAGAGTAACCTTTTGGTTTCAAAGCATGTGACTGCACAGCGAACTGTGAGCTTTGACTTCCGTGATAGAGTGCCAGCCTTACAGGCTGAAAGGAAGTACATGGTAGTGTCTTTGCAGCAGCACCACAAGGATTACTGGCTATTTTCTGGTTCCCTTTAAGGACTTCTCTACAGATTTTATACAGTCTGGCTTTGCAGACAGAAGATTGCGTACTGGTGTTAGCCATGGTGGAATATATAATTCACAACAATATGCAGTACTGTCTAATTAGCCCATTTTCATATAGTTTTAACAACTTGGAAACCATTTCTATTAAATTTTATGATTTATCCTTAGTACAGCTGGATATGTAGCTGAATATAAATAAGGCTATAATTGATATGTAACTCACTGGAACCGTAGAAAGAAAGTTTTAAGTAATGATTCACTCTAATTAATACTGAATTGCTGTAGCAATCCCGAAGATGTTCTCGTGACATTCACATTAATATTGACCAGATTTATTAGTGTTAATGTTAGTGCATTAAATAGCAAATGATTGAGTGGGGATTTGGCCTTTATTTTCAAGCGTTAAGCAACATCGTTTTCGGTTTGTGATTACACAGCAGAGACTGTGTATAATGAAATGAAAGTCATCTTCAAATATTCACACTTCTTTTTCAATAAATTTTCATTTGATACCACTTTCATTATCTTTGATAAAACATGAAACTTTTAAAAGGAAGTTCGGGTTTCATGGGAGCAGAGTAAAGCCTTCCAGACAGCTTTTCCGGTGGGTATGGACACACTGGCAGATGTTGTGCTATTTTGTTCTAGTAAACATAGCCAGCAGTGAGACATCAAGATGTCAGCTTTTGAAAGTTACCTGCTCATAGGATGCTGGTTGAACATTATAGAGAAAACATTGAAGTTGGAGTCATTGGAGTTCTTTCAAATTTCATTTCACTCCTTAATGGGAGTCTAGCATTAAATAATATGACTTTATGTTCTAGCTACACAATTTAGTGCTGTCAGACCAAGCATGGAGCCCAGTGGGAAAAAAAAAAAAAAGTTATAAGAATTTAATAGAACAGAAATGTGATTATTCCCTTCATTATTTTTGCCTTAATATCTTCTCTCTGCATGTAAGCAAAATGCTAGTGATGTATCTAGAATGCTATACGCTGATTTAATACACGACAGAGTAACCTACACCTTCCCATTAGGTCACCCTTGATAGCATTGCCCCTTAAACTAGCGTTGAGGATATCTCCTGTATCATTCCCCCCTACTTTTGGCCATGTTAATAGCCTATTAATAGCCATTTACCTTAGGCAGCTGGGTGATGGGGCTGCCTCTCACAGAAAATAGGATTCTCATGTGTGTGTTCCTGGCATGTATGCCAGTGTGCACATGCAGGTGACTGAATGCAGCTGTGCAGCTATGCAGAACAGCGCCGGTGTGGAGATGAATGAGTTCCCCCCATTTCCTGTGGGCTTTCCGTTACTGCTATTTGCACTGTACTAAATTGATACCGTTTTAAAGATAAGTGGGTTTCAACTCACTTAACTTTAAATATCTGCACTCTAAGCTTCTGTTTACATGTAGACATTTATCTGTGTCTAAACTGATCAGCCAGACTTCCCTCGCCTGCCCTGTGTTTGTACTTCTGCCTGAAGGTCGACTGCACCCTGGCAGTAGCTTTTTTCTCTGCTGCTGTAATGGGAGCCTGGGTAAGCAGTTGGGACGTCTGCCTGGCAGCCACCACGAGGTCAGCAGGATGCAGCGTGCTGCTGAGAGGCTGCATTCACGCTGGGTCACTGTCGCAATAAGAGAGAAATAGTGGAGAGATCAATGTGTCGCTCTATGATTAGATAAAGAGGAAGACGGTAGTGAAAAAGGAGCTGAACAGGGAAATTCAGCACTGTGGAAACACGTAATGTGACTACCCCAGGGGTAAAATAATAAAGAAACAAACAGCCTTTCTCTACAAAGCAAAATTCCCTGCAAGACAATGCAGGAGACTTTGCACTTTGAAGTGTGCTAATTAACCTAGCCAGCAGACACCTGTTAATTAACTGGTACCATTTCTGCAAACGCAATGCCAAAGCAATGAACTAGCAACTAGATGTGATTTCTAGTGATAGATTCAAGCATTACTTACGTGAAATCAGACTTTGACAAAACACGGGAATTATTCCATTGTTTTTGTTTAATTCATTACTCCAGTAATGTACACGTGAGACAGTTCAATAGCATATGTAATAGTTCATTGTAAAAACTAAAAAGCAAAAATGAAAAACACCGAGATGAATTAACAAAACATTGTAATTTGTAACCTTTAAATTGTAGGGTGTGTAAGTGAGGTGTCTAGGACTCACTATAGGCATGTATAGATCGGTTTCTGATGGCTGAGCGGAGTTGTATGTAATTATCAAACCTCTCAAGTGCCAACATGGTGACTGTCAGTCATGCTACTGTCTGTCCACAGAGCACAAAAACAGCATCAGAACCCCCGTTAGCGCCTTCTGTTTCTGAAGAAGAGGATGAAGAAGATGAGGAAGAGGAAGATGACAACGAACCTCCGCCTGTTATTGCACCACGGCCTGAACATACAAAATCAGTAGGTCCCAGCTTCAGTCAGCACTGCTTGTGGTGTAATGAATGTTTCTGATCAGACAGCACTTGGGGCATGTTGGTGAAGGGTCTGAGGGCTGGAGCCCTGTCATGGGGTATTGCTTCACCCAAGCTACTGACACCAGGAAAATCTGATGGAACTTAATTATTTATTAAGTTAAGAGTTTCCTGCAATGCTGATTGGAACAATTAATTTTATTTTAGTATCAGCTAAGAGGTAGCATTGTTTCTTTTAATGCTGCTAGTACAAAAGTGAACAAATTTGTCCAGAGTATCTGTGGACTTGCTGTGTCATCAAGTGGAGGGAGCAGTCACCAGACCCATTGCACACCTGTGTAGGACATTTAGGAGAAACTATCCCCTGGAGTTACCCATCCCTCTTCACTACATGAGGAGCTAAATGAATAACTTAGACTACGCTATTAACCTGTGTATGGCTGAAGTTTGGTGAGAATCCTACGCAGCTGTGCAATGTGAAGAGAAAGTGGAAGTCTGAAAGATTGTAATGCAAGTCCTAATGGCCGATCCTTAACGCTTGAAACGCTGACGAGAAGGCAGTTCAGCAGTTATGACCAGAAAAGGGAAATGCTCGCTGCTTCTATTCAGATACCTATCTTAACTGATAAAACCAGTGTCCTAATGCTCATTATTTTTGTTGCAAAACTGTTGCCTTCAGCACTGTATTGGTGCCATCTTTGGAACTGTTAGCAAATGTCCAACTGCGAGTCATTTTGTTACCCATATAAACAGATGAGCAACAAGGAACAAGGCCCTGGACACAGCTATTTCTCTATTCTGGCAGCACAGTAAATTCATTGTTTCAGTAATCTTTCAGAAAATAAAATAGAAAATGAAACTGGCCGTGAACTTGTGTAAAACTAGCCTTCATTTATCTTTATTTGAGAAGTGGAAAGTGAAAAAGAACATTTTAAGAGTCCTGTCTGTGGCAGACAGCATCTTCCTAAGTGTTTGTGTCACAGTCTCGGGGCACCTCTGCGATCCACCTTTTTGACACACACTAATTTACTGTCACAGATCTACACTCGCTCTGTAATTGAACCCGTCGCTGCACCAGCACCGGCTAAAGAAGCCACAACTCCCCAGCCTGAAAACTCGAACACAAATACTTTGTACAGAAACACAGACCGGCAGCGAAAAAAGTCCAAGATGACAGACGAGGAGATCCTAGAGAAACTGAGTACGTATTCTGTATTTCTTGTCTGATAAAGCAGTGTCTTGTATGCATGTCTCAAGATTTTATGTACCAAACGATCAACGTTAGTTTAGTGACAAAGGGCCAATTACAACTCCTCACACAAACTGTGCTTAAAGGGAGTGAAGGAGCACTCTGGATATTCCTTCTGCCTCTGAGGGCAGCTCAGGATTTGCCTGAGTTTCTGCATGTGCTAAAAGCAAAAAAAAAGAGATTATTTCTGCTTGAGCAGAAGTCTGTGGCCTAGTGAATGACCTCAGTGAACTCCAGTGTGCTGATGCCCAGATTTAGCTGAATGTTTGGCTTCCTAAATTCTCTTTAGATTTCTGACTTCTCACCAGTCATCGGAGACCAAATACAGAAATCTCTCTCTTTGAACCTGTAGACAGCTACAGAACTAAGCCTATTCCTTCAGCATGAAGGGGGTCTCCTCCAACAGGATATTCTGGTGTTCTTACCGCTACCACTAGTATATCAAAGCTTGTTTTTATAACAATTTTCCGTTTTGACAAAGGACTCCTTTGAAAGGACATGAGTTGAGACCATGGATAGAGAACAGGTTTTCAGTGTGCCTCAAAATAAATTAAAAAATACTTTTATAGCAATCCTTATTTTATTTCTTAGCTTTATACTTATAAAGAGGCATCAGTGAGACACAGCTATGTGACCTGATCAGATAAAACTGCACTGCAAGCATTTCTCAGGAGCTAGCCTCCAGCACATTCACTGCACACTCCTCAGATAAATGACACCTTGACATAGCTGATTCCCAACCAGTTAATGCCATCACAATCCTGACTGTTGGCCCCAAAGCCCTGCATGGATCATACACTAGGCAAGCACATTATGCCCTTTGTGGTTTTACAACACAATAATCAGCTTCTTGCATGTTCTAGCTTTCAGTGCTGTGTTATCAGATAACAAACCCTTGAGTTGATAAGGTACCCCAGTTCACTCTGTCTCCTGTTAACTGTTAGGACAATAAGTGAATTGATCTACGCCTCATTGTTTGATCTCAAAGCCAATAATATTGTGCCTTTAATGGAGGTAACCACTTGGAAAGAGCACAGTCTGTATGTGGCTTCTTCACGGTGGTTTGTCAGTGGCTTGTTCTTGTGCTGAACCAACCTTTGTCACTACGTCCCTGCCACCGATGGTGGCTGTGACTGCAGAAGCTGCAGCATTTCTTTGCTGCTTGTATCGTTTTCTGCACCCTTGGCAGGTTGACAGGACCATACAGAACTGCATCTCAGTGCCGTTAGGGGGTACTGAAGGGGTAAGTTCCCTGGCTTTAGCTGAGGAGATAAGGAAATAACGTGTTTATTCCAGGAAGTTTATCTGCAGGTAGGTCAGGTTATAAAGGGAGAAATTATAACTCCTTCATCTGAGGCTAAATGTTTGAGGCAGGCATCTGCCATGAGATCTGCAGGTACCCTGCATACTTGAACAGTAAGTATGCATATCATTTATTGAAGCTCATGTAACCTAGATTAGGACTGAGCCCATGAGATATTGAGGGTTATACCTCTGAAATGTTTCATGCTTTCATGTTTTTACTTTCTTAAGAATTTGATACCCAGTGCAAGGTCTGAAGATCTGCCTTGGCAAATTGTGATGTGAACAATGAAAATCTTTCTGTACTTTTGTGAAGCCATCTAAAAATGGGGGTGGTGCTCTTCTGTTGTAGTCATGGTCTAATTAGATTTAAGCATGTGGGTTTGGGTGCTTTTTGTTTGTTTGTTTGTTTTCAAACTCATATGACTTCTTCACCTTGCCTACTGTCTCTACAGTTGGTTTTATTCTACTCTTATGAAGATGTCCCTTGCCCTCTTTTATCTTAAATTGCTTTCATAACTCTTCTCTGCTTGAAATAACTTGGGTTTTTTTAGAGACACATTCATTACACGTTTTACTAGGGAGTAGAGCCTGTAATACTGAGATAAGATCAAACAAAACTCTGTCTGTAATGAAATCATGAATATGTTCCACTGTAATTATGAAACAGAAGTGGCCCAATTCTGCTTTCTTATCCACTTAATTTAGGACTTGATAAAGGAAAGTGCTTAAAAACACCAAAATAGCTGGTGTGTTTATCTCTGGTCCAGAATAGGGAGTGCTCCTCTGAGCTGGAGCTGCACACCAGCCCCTTTGTTGATTTTAGTGCTATCATATTTGAAAAGCAGTGGCTTAATTACAGGATACCAGACATAAACAAGTAACTTGCAAAAGCACCTCCTCAAGATTTTAGGAGGGACTATGAAATCTGAGTCAGTAGCAAATTGGGAAAATTTTATTCAAAGTATTTGTTCTCCAGTCTCTGTTTTTCTGTGCTCCTTTCTAACATGAACATTTGTGAACTTCTGGTGTCTGTCCCGGTAGATACACATTTCCATTTACTAGCTGACAACAGCACCAAGCTGGACACCACCAACACAGTATTTTCCCTGTTACCCAGCCCAGCACAAGGTTATGGCAGCAGCTTGGTTTGGTACTGCAAAGATTCACGGGGATCCTGGTCTGGGGGTGGTCAAGTTCAGCAGTGCAAGCTTCCTCCTGGATGAGCAGGAGGGAACGTGTTCTTTTGGTTGGGTCCCTTCTTTCAGCCTATTAAAAAGGGAGTTCTGGAGTCCTCTGGTCATAATCCCCTTGGCTGAAGAGTTGTTTTACAGCAAAGACCCATTCTAGTGAAGCAGAAGATAAGCTTCATCTCAGGTTCATTTTTCAGCGAGTTCCCACTTTGGCTGGGAAGCTGTCCTTGTTCTGCTCCAGGATCCCACTGCAGGAGTTCAGCAACAGCCATCCTCAGGGCGTCCAATTTTAGCTATGGATTTTGAAGTGTAGCTGAAAATGGTGTGTGTGTCCTTTGCTTGGCGTGGAGCTGGGCAGTGTTTGGCATTCTGACCAGAGGAAAATACAAAAGTTAACCGGGGTCACTTAAGTGCCATGTCCTTGGCTTTGACTCCAGGCAAGACAATTGCAGTGTCTCTCAGCAGCGACAGCAGGGCAGGATCACTGCAGGCTACCTGGGGCTATGTCAGCATCCTCAGGCAGTGAGTGCTCGCGGTGCCACCGGCAGCGGGCACTGGCTGGCGTGCCTGGAGTGCCGCGAGAGGGGAGCGAGTGCTGCGGCACAAAGGAAACCTCTTCCCCTGCAGCTCCTGTTAGTGATCTTGCCAGGACCAGGAAAATTGTTTAAGCAAGGAGCGTGGCAGATGGTGTCGATGCCCTGTCTCCTTGCCGTGCTGGCAGGCAGGATCCCTGGCTGGGCATCCAGCTTTTAAAGCCCTCCGCCCTGGAGAACTGGCGAGGGAGAGGTGTTTGCTACTTCACTGCTTACAGTGAATGGCGTGCCACCTTGTTGGGCTTTGGACATGGAGGTGAATAAGTACATATTTGTACTGGTGGTGCAGGAATATTGTCAGATCAGTCAAAATGTGGGCAGTCTTTCCTCCTGAGCTAATCTCCTCCAAGCATTTCAGTGACGCACATTCGCACTTAAATTTTTCAAAGTCATTTGGATTGCCATTTAACCATCAACTTAGACGCTGTTGTTTGTGTTTTACGTAGGCAACTGCTGGACCAGAAAAAAAAAAAAAAAAGTTGTTTTTGAATAACTCCTTTGGATTTGTTTTAATTAGCAGATTTTGGCTCTTTCACTCGATACAAGCTTAGTATACTGATTGCTGCTTTCTTTCCTTCCCATTCAGACTGCCTACATCTCTGAGTGGGCAAGAAACCATCAAGCTGTGCGTGCTCTAATTCTAGCTTTCACTGGCAGTGCTCCAAAATTGCCTGGGACCTGGCTCGCCCATGCCTGGGCCCAACGGGCTGGCCCTGCCTGCCCTCTGCTGCAGGCAGCAGCAGCCGGGAGGTGGCAGCAGCCCGTCTGGCCTGCGTCGTGCATCACGGAGCTACCAGCACCTCCTGCTGCAGCTCTCCTTGCTGCTAGCAGTGCTGGGTCCGGAGCAATGCTGCTGCTGTTGTTTTGCATGAGGTTCGTAACTGTGAGGATCTCCCTGCTGAGAGTCAAATGCTTGTTACTGGTCCAGGTCAGGGTGAAGGCCAGCAAGGCAGGTTCTTAAAATGGCACAAGCACAGTCTCCTTTGTAAATCATTGTGAGGTAATCAGTTGTGAGGGTCATAGTTTTTAAACAACCATAATTATTTATTGTAACATGAGATGTTCTCCTTTAAAAGGATGAAAACATTACTTTGGCAAACTACTGGAAGATTGAGAAGATCCCTTCTTGTAAACACTTTGCTACGGTCTTCCTGTTCTGAAATGGCATCTGTTCATTAAAATTGATTTGAGAACCCAAGGTGCATCTCATCTTTGAAAGTATTAAAACTTGTGTAGAATCATACAGAGTATTTATTCTGAATGAAGGAAAAAAGGCTCTGTTATTCCAGCTCTCATTAACATTTGTAGACAACAGACAAGCACTTGCATGGATGTTTGTTTATTTCTGATATCCGTGTCCTATCAATACATTTACATGTTGCCAGTTCCTTGTCAGGGTGCAGAGACACAGGCAATCTCCAAAGGACTGTTTAAAAAAAAAAACAAACATTTTTTTATGGAGTCCAGCTGCGCTGTAGAGCTGCCTGCATTGTTGTTGATTATTATTATTACCCACCTGACTGCGTGCAACTCACAACCCCATACAGCATGTCTGACCTCTCGGAAGGTGGTATCTCCATTTTGAAGTGAGCATCTTTAATTTTGTTTCTTTCAGGGAGCATAGTGAGTGTGGGAGACCCTAAGAAGAAATACACCCGATTTGAAAAAATTGGCCAAGGGTAAGTCCAATCATAGTTATCTATACAAAAACACGGGCTGGGTGTTTTTGCTGGTAAAATATCAAGTGTGAGTCTGGGCAAGCTCCAGACACACTCAGACGCTGCATTTAGATTCTCCCAGTCTCTCACTTCTCATCAGTATTTTAGCTGTGGCCAGAGGGAATCATTAAAGACACCTTGCTGCGGGCAATGTCTTATCTGCAGCAAGGAACAGATCCTGGACAATCTGCTGTCCCTCCAGTGTGCAGCATTTATTTTCTTAGAAGAAATCATTTTTATGTGTCTCAAAATAATGTAGCCACACTAAAGAAAGAAGAAAAAAATATTCTGTCTCAAAGATCAACTTGCCAAACGATAGTTGTCATATAAATAAAAGCTCTCAATAGCGTTTCTTTCAAACATTTTGCTAAAGATGTCAGTGATCAGGAATAAAAAAAAAAGAGTTTAGAAACTTAAACCCATGCAAAACAAAATAAAGGAATAAATCGGTAATAAAGGCAGTGCAGATGTGCAAAGCACTTAATGAGGAAACACACCACCTGCCTGCTGACAGACCACTCTGGGATCCTGCAGGTTTTATTTACTGAAAATAATCTACCAAGCTATTCCCTTTTGAAACCCTTACTTCACTTATCCTAAATAGGAGTGATCTGAAATAATTCCTATGTGAGGAGACAAGAACAAGAGAAATTACACCAAAATGAGGTATCAGATGTGCATTTTAAATAGACAGACTGCCTCCTCAGTCCAAGTTTCCTATGTTGTAATTCCGGCAGGGCTAATGCCATGTGGGTAAGACCAGGGTCGTGCTGCTGCTTGCGTACGGCAGAAAGCTGTGTACTGACATCAGGAGATGGTTTTCTGCCCTAACCCGCTGTGAGGTTTGAACCCAGGGTAGCACGTTGCTGACCGAGAACTGATAAATCCTGAAGAAAACCAGATGCTCTCATGCTCTTTCTCCGGCAGGCTTTATAGTAGATATATCTTACTTGATAAGACGCTGGTGGGGAGGGGTTTCTTCTCCATTTGTTGTAGGCAACCCTTTCTGAGATTCCAGCTTGCTTTCTACCTGCAGCTTTGGTTCTCACTGTCACTGTATGTCAGTGGGCACTCAGAGCTGTGCCAGTCTCTCAAAAGATAAGTGTCAGCTGAAGGCGTGAGATTCAGATTAAACACGTGTGAACAGATTCTTGCTGTCACTGTCAGAAAACGACCGTCATCCTCACTCTTTTATTTTGACACTGCTGGGAGTGAGGTTGTACAAAGGTACCGCAACAACTGGTGGAAAACAAGTGGCTAAGACCTGCCCTAAAAGGGTACCTAAGCAGATGTCCTGCAGCCAGAAGGTTGCGTGCCCTTCTTACAGAGGGGTGTGTTGCTGTAACCACCTCATGGCTTTAATGCTGCAGCTTGATTTAGACAGCTGGGGAAACACACTAAGGAAAAAAAGTCGTTATAGCTAAACCCTGCATTGGATGTCTTGCAGATCTGCATTGCTATTGCAGTGAACAGCTGAACGTGAGACTGTTTTGACAACTGTTTTTTGGACTCCAACTACATGCAAAGCCACTTGTTGAAGACTTGCTGTAGCTTTTATCATGTAAATTAGAGTAATTCTTCTCAAATACTAAAACAGTGAGTGCGCTCAGTAATGCACTTCAGATTATTTCATCCTGCAGTATGTAAAGGAGGTGCTTAGGCTCTCAGTATGACACTGGGGAGACATGAGGAGTATTTTCAGTGCAGCTAATGAGTGGAGGGCAGGAGCCAGGGCTGCTCAGTGAAATGCAGGTAGCAACTTTTTACGTAAGGAGGAGTGAATCGACCAGGCAGTAGCACCTCGTGGCTCCATACAGTTGGTAAGTTAATAAACAGTGGGATGCTTTCACAGCCACTTTGCAGTGAACAGTAATTAGCAGGCCTGTGCTGAAGCATGGGCCAGCTTCAGAGCTGAGTCTGTGGTTTGTAATTTGTCTCTGGTTTAGGACTGAAAACGTTGCTGACATTGGAGGAAACTTCGTTAACTAGGGCTTGGCAAAGAGGCTGCGTTTGCTCAAGCTGTGCTTAGCTCTTGCTAAAGACAAAGCAGTGTGGAGCCATGAGCAGCCTGGGTTCAGGGCTTCTATTTTTTCTTTCTTGTTTTTTTTTTTTAAACTTGTATTGCACTGCATCATAGTGACACAGATCTAATTGTTAGTCCTGGTACTTGCCTAACTGCATTAAAACAGAGATGGTACAGAAGAGTTTGAAAGTTAGATACAGATCAGAAATTATAGCTGCTTAGAAGTAAAAGTCCCTAATACAGAATCACAGAGCCCTTGCAATTAATTCACAGCTTTACTTAAATTACTCACCTTTATCTAAACTCTTCACAGATGGCCTGAGGCATAGCAAAATGTGCCCTCATTTAAATGGCTGTTTTAAAATAAACCCTGACAGGACTTTACTCAGGAGGTGTAGCACAGTGTTAGCAAATCTGAATAAATGGTGTTGGCTTTTTATGAAAACAAATTGGATTAATCTCAACAATTAGTCATAGGCAAATGCATTTGCATTTATATTAAAAGAATACATAGCATGCCCAATGATAACATTGTTCTCAACACTGGTATGCGATCTCTGATGCCTGTTGAAATAAAATTTCTCAGAAGTGTTTCTGCCTGCAGGTAAACAGAAACAAACTGGGTGATCATGCAAAAATGAGCAAAAGGATTTTGTATTTTCAATCCATGGGGAGTTTGCCAGGTGCATGTTCCCACATCTCAGAATCCCCACCCTGGCGCTCCCGTGGCTCACTGTCCATGCACACACAGGCTTCATAAACGATGGCAGTGTAAGCCTGGGGCTTAGCACAGAAGGAAGGCCCAGCAGGGTTTATAAGCCCACAGTTGCTTTTAAACCCAAAGGGATTTCCTCTGATCATGGCCCTTTTGGCCCTTCACAGCCTTGCAGGGGAGGAATGGCTTTTAAAGAGAGGCGGATGGCAGGCAAAACCCCTCACTCATGTTTTGGTAGCCCTACACTAGCACCTGTGTCTGCTGAATGGCTCTTGACAAAAGAAGCTGTTTTGGGTTCTTCTGTTCGGAGTCATTCTCAAAACCAAGAACGCGAAACAGGAGAATATTTTCCAGAGTTTTCGGGGAGGGGGGAAATATGTAGAAACAACTCCCTCCATAAGTTTTGAACTAAAACAATGTAGGGCGTACATTTCGGATTCACACCAGCCCTTTCTCTTCACGTTGGCCATGAGCTGGTTATCTTGGATGCAGAGGGCCGGCAGGTGGCTGTGCCGTGCTGCCAGGAGTGAGCGCAGGCGGTTTGCAAACACTGCCGGCAGCAGAGATGGCCTAGCTGGGCTTGTTTTCACCCAAAGGCACTAAAACGCTTTTCATTTGTTGGCCTGTGTTTTGTTTCTAGGGCATCAGGAACTGTTTACACAGCAATAGATATCGCCACAGGACAAGAGGTAAGTGCCGGCAGCCCCAGCTGACTCTGCAGGTATCCAGTGCTTTCCCCTCCGGCAGGAATTGTGGATGGGGTTTTCAGCTTGCCAGCAGATGGGTGGTGCAGAGGCTGTTCCTCCTGAGCACGGACAAAACACATCGCCTGCCATCTTCGGCTCCTTGGTTCTTTAAGGCCACCGTGGGTCTGTGCCTCCGTAACTAAACACTTCCTGGGCCATCCATTTTCCAGCAGCTGTTGCACTGAGGTGGTGATTAATGCCTGAAAAGGTGCCCGTGAACTCCTGGGCAGGGGGGTCCTGGTCCCCCTGAAATCAGTAAGAGCCTCGGTGCTCTCTGTGCTTAGACTGATGCTGCACCCTTAGCTTTTAGGGCCAGTTGTACGAGATGTGTTTTCTTATACTCCATCTTCTGAACACATCTTTGCTCTCCACAGTATTGTTGGTCCATCCTGGTACCGTGTTACGGCTGTCATCCCTGAATGGGCATTTCAATAGAGAGAAATCTATAAAGAAATGCCAGCAAGACTGATTTAAAAAAAAAAAAAAAGTGTTTTTTATTGCTAGTGTAAATGTATTGCTTTAGAAAATCTTATCCCTGCTCCCAAGTGTGGATGCAGTTGTGCTATTACAGAGAATATTGGTCTGAGTGTAATTTAACTCCAAGTGTTTCCAGCATAAAAACTGTCTGGGGGCCTGGCCCCAGTTGTAAAACCTAAAGATCTGTAATCACAGGCCTTGGGGAACCCTCGGGGTGTTCACAGCTTCCCCTATTGCTGTGAGGAATAAGTAGCTTTATTACACTGCTTGCTTTTGGACAGCCCTTGTCCTTACTAAGAACTACCAGAAGCAAGGGAAGGAGGAGCAGTGCCATCCTTCAAAGAAGGACGCGCTCGGTCTGAATTGCCAAAGACATGAATGCAAGCAGCTGACGGTCACTGCCACCACCCAGTCCCAATTTATCTTAATCACCAATTCAGACAGCAATACTGTTTAGCATTTTTTCCATCATGTGTCTCATCTTCAAAGGATAATACAAGAACTAATTAAGGAGAGATCGTGTTCAGGATGCAGTTTGGTGTTTTAGTTGTTCTGAAGCTGGCTGGCACTCACCAAAATGAGAAGATTCGTATCCAGGGCAAAGATTTCCTAAAAGCTACGCTCATGTTTAGCTGGTGTTGGTGACAGCCCACGATGCTACAAGGCAACGTCAGGCTCACCCTGGCAAGAACTGGTTGCAGGGAAGTGGGAGCCAAGGGGTTGAGAAACAAATCTGGAAGAAAAGCACTGTTTATTCTCACAGTCCCAGTAGGGACTGATTTATGTGGCATCTTACCAATCGTTTCCTTTTTCAGGTTGAGGCAGAGGCAGGGTAGGTATGATGGTTTAGAGCAAATTTTGGTGTCTTAGGCCCTTTGCTCTTTAGGGGTATGGTTTAAGATTTCTGATGTATCATTTTTGCTTGTCAGTGTGAGATTCCAGTGATTCCACCCACCTCCAGTGATGCTCTGTACAGGAGGACACTTTATAACTAAAAATCTAAAAGCCCTGAGCCCTGCTCATAACCCTGAGTGTGTCCATAAAATACCACAGAATGGATTCTTTTCTTTAAAGCCAGATTATTGCAAATCTAAACTCTGTTAAAAGATAAGAATTACCAGCTGTTTTTTATATATTTTCACAGTAACAGAATCACTTGCTGCTTGCAAAACATGCATAAATAATAATGGTGGTAATAAAATAAGGCTATCTTAAAAGAATGTAGGTCCAGAGAGTGCTATTAGAGATTTTTGGTTGATCATTTAAAGACTGTGTTTACAGATTTTATAAGGCAAGATATATATGACCACGTGTAACTAGCACGCAAGCAAGTAGAGAAATAGGGTGTTGTAACGTAAGTTACTGAGCTCTAATGTCTAATAACAAGACAGTTTGGCACAGCTCTGATAGATCGCTCCAAAAACACTCTGTGTTCACTCTGATCTTGTGCAACAGACTATTCACGTTAATGCATTGTTTTCACTGTCGTTTTAGGTGGCCATAAAGCAAATGAATCTCCAACAGCAGCCCAAAAAGGAACTAATTATTAATGAAATCCTGGTCATGAGGGAAAATAAGAATCCCAATATTGTTAACTATTTAGACAGGTAAGTACTTCTGATGGTGTCACGCGAATGTTCATTTCCATATTGAAACTCAAAGATGAAGAAAAGCCTTTGGTTACTCACAGAAAACAACTCTTTATCCATGTATAATTATGTGTATTTATATATTTATGTGTATATATGCATAAAAATATATGGGAGGAGACTGGTCTTTATGTGCATTAATCTTTTCTGGTATATCAGAGCATCACAGAACGGTTGCAGTAGGCAGGGACCTCTGGGCCCATCTGGTCCACCCCCTGCTCCAGCAGGGCCATCCTGTGCAGGGTGCTCAGAAGCTTTTGAAGTTCTCCAAGGGGGAGACTCCACAGCCCCTCTGGGCAACCTCTGCCAGTCATCCATAGAGTAAAGAGGTGCTTCCTGATGTTTAGACAGAGTATGGAGTTCAGAGCGTCTTTTCAAAGACCTCGATCAACCACATCTTACTAAAACTGCCTGTATCTCCACCTCCACCCTGTTTTTAAGTTGGTCATGTTTTCTGCATATTATCATAAATGCAGACATATCAGTCTATAAATTATTTCTCTTTGGCTGTTCCAACCAGTTTCCATTGCTGTGGATTCCAGGAAGAGTAGGTTCTTGTTTCCAGACACACATAATTTGTCAGGTTTTAAACTGTTTTCCCTGTTTCTGAATGTATTTGTATAAGGTTTTCTAAGCTGTTGACCAATTTCTGTCTGTAGCACACACTCTCCCACTGCCACAGACAACTATGAAAGTTGTCATCTTGTTCCTGGAGTTAATCAAGGTGTTTACGTATAAGTTAAGATGATGAACCAGATGATCTGATATGTTCCAGTTCAACATTCATCTTTGCCTTTACTGAATCACATTTTTCACTTGCTTACCATCTAAGACGTCTGATTTTTCACTTAGGTGCATTTCTCATTCGGGCTGCACAGTTTCCACGTACTCTATAGCCTAGAAGGAATGTCCATTCATTTCATTTAAAAATGAACAGGAATCAAAGCCAACTGCTGTAATTTTCATAAGACAATTCAGCAACACACATTTATCTCAAAGCCATTGTTTTCTTGTTTCAGCTACCTAGTAGGCGACGAGCTCTGGGTGGTTATGGAATACTTGGCTGGAGGCTCTTTAACTGATGTTGTTACAGAGACGTGTATGGATGAAGGACAGATAGCAGCTGTGTGTAGGGAGGTAAGGGATCCTGTCTGCACTTCTGATTACTTGGACAGAGTGGTACTTTGAAGCAGGTGCAAAGAACATGAGTGGTTTCGTGTCCAGATCTTTGCTTCTGTGTTGCTTTTTTAATATGGCAGAAGAAAGAGCATCTTAAATGAACTGCCAGCCAGAATCACTACGCTTAGTAGACTCTGTTACTGCACTGTTAGTGTATTCTCTCTTGTTTTGTGTTTTACTGTTCTCAACTTTGCCTCTTTAAACATTTGCCTGGAGCATGTCCATACTGCATTCCTTGCCTGTAAAAGCAAACATGTTGGTGGCAGAATTTTAAAATAATAGCAAAGAAAAATAGAGGCTCATTTATCACGGTCCTGAGCTTAAAAGGGTAGCATTCCACCCAAAGTGGTGTTTGCTTCTGAAAAATGACTAGCATGTTATTTCCAAATCCGCTTTAGAACCTAACAATAAAATCTTTGTCATGCAACCTTCCACCTAAAAGGGATCCACTTCATACTGAAGAAAGTGACTTTTCTTTTGGCAAATAATAGTTTGTCATATGGATGGACATGGCACATTCATTTTAACAGCAGTCATTCAGTCTGTGCTTTCAGGGGATAGTCTGTAACAATAATTGACATTTCTTTTTCAAAAGCTCATGTGCCTTCGTTTAGAAAGTTATTATTCTAGTAGTGTTGAAGCAGCAAGCTATACCTCTTGAAAACAGAGTGTTCTGCCATTACTCTCAACTCATCTAGAAATTAAATCTTTTAGAACTATTTCTGTTATTGTGTGATGAAATCGAAGTCATTAATTTTTACCCTTATGTCCTTTTTTTTTTTTTTTTTTTTTTTAATCTATCAGTGCCTGCAAGCACTGGATTTCCTTCATTCAAACCAAGTGATTCACAGAGACATCAAAAGCGACAATATTCTTCTCGGAATGGATGGATCTGTCAAATTGAGTAGGTGTTCTTCGTCAGGCACAGCTCTCCCAGGATTGGGGTGTGGGGCTGCTTCTGACTGCCTGCCAGTTATCCAGAGGGGGTGCCTATGATGGTGTCCTGACCGCTGCTTAACGCTAAGGGCTTTTCCATTACTTATTCTAACACACAGAGAAGTACAGGAAGAAGAAAGATGCAAGAAAAAACACTGCCTTTTATTTGTGCATGCCCCTTCCAGAGACCAGAGTTACAGTCTAAAGCCCCAAGTGCACAATTGTCACTGCAGAGCAAACAGACACTGCTGCTTTCCTAGCTAGATTCAACATCACGTTCTTAGCTATAAACCAGGGATTTTAACTTGGTTTCATAATTTTAAATGGCTTTAACAATACATTTTTTTTTTTTTTCTCCTCAGCTGATTTTGGCTTCTGTGCTCAGATCACCCCTGAACAGAGTAAAAGGAGCACAATGGTTGGGACTCCTTACTGGATGGCACCAGAAGTGGTGACACGAAAAGCATACGGTCCCAAAGTGGACATCTGGTCACTTGGGATCATGGCAATAGAAATGGTGGAAGGAGAACCGCCTTACCTTAATGAAAATCCTCTCAGGGTAAGATGCCAATAGAATCAGACACCACTGTCTTTTTAAGCTGTCCTATGTTTAGACATAAAATCCCAGTCACGTCAGCTTGGACTAGTTCCAGCAAAGGCTGCTTCTAAAAATGTCAGTGGAGTGTATCAGCACAGACTCTGGCTTTGGGGACGTAAATGGGAGAACCTCAAAAGACAAGTAGGATGGAGCCAGTTCAGAAGTTTGTCATTTTTGTCTTCAGTGATCCTTAAAATTTCTCAGGCGTTGTTGGAAATGTGTTTTAGCTGTACCTCTGACGCCAGGGATTTTTCAGTGGCAAGTTTCTCGAGCTGATGAATTTTTCTGAAACAAGCTTCAACTACACCTGCAGGCAGAAGTATTTTCAAACTCAGATCAGTGTAGATCAGCCACCTGATCCTTTCCGGAGGTGTCATTGGTCAGAGTAATACCGTAATTATTGATTTCTAAATTGTTAATTTCTAAAATGCACAGAAACTAATGCATTGTTATTTTGAAGTTTTCGTTTATCCAAACTCTTAAAATGAAACAGCCAATTCTTATTCAAGTGTGCAATGAAGAAGGAAGGTACACCAAGGAAAAAACTTATGGCTGATAGCTGAAACAGTTAAATGCTACAAAGTTAATTCCTGGTGGGAGGCAGGAATCTATGAAGAACTTAATTTTGTACCTGTGTACATACATATGTAATTTTTGGTAAGGCTAGAACTAAGCCACAGCATGACCTTTAGGTTTTCTCATAGTGGTGAGGCTGCAATTCCTCTGGCAGCCCATGCTGTGTGCTGCAGACTGAACAAACAGCACAACCTGGCCATGCTGTTTAAGAAAGGAACATGACAAATACACAATCTTTTGTCTTCTGCTTTTTATGAAAAAAAGTTTTCTGTGTCATTATAGAAGACCTGTTTTGGTTTTGCAGGTGCCCTGGGGTTTTGGGCTCCAGTGCACTCGTGTATGTGCTGTGCCACAGTGTGAAAGGGTGTAAGAAATGGGTTTGGGTTCAGACTGATGTCAAACAAGCGGAGTGCACCTTAGCTGGTAGACAGCAGGCCTGTCACTGCAGACCAGTTTTACCTAGAAAGGCTTTTGCACATCACCAGTTCTTCTTCAGTTTCCTGCAAAGAGAAGGCTCCACATTCCACATGCATCCCGGGGGGACCCTTGCAAAAAAAAAAACCATACATTGTATATGGCAGCAAAAACATAAAGATAATGAGTGTTGTTACTGGTTTGGATGCTGAAAACTCCTTGCTTCCTTAAACTTAGCTGTTAATTAGGGCTCCTCAGGACACGTCAGGTCAGCTGTTAAAAAGGTAACTGGATTTCCCACCACATTCACATTCAGTTATTCTTGGTACTGCCCAGACTAAATTGGAGATGGTGTTCTTCTCCATACACACCTCATCTCCTGCAGGAGTTGAGATCAGTGTGGATGCTTACAGGTCCAAGGTATATTCAGGTGTCCAAGTAAAACTGGCAGATTAAAATCAGGCATCTGAAGTTGGTACCATCTGCATCAGCTTTCCTGGCTTCTTTGCAGAGGTTGTTGCCCCTGAGCAAGGAGCAGTGAACAACTATTGATGGAGTGAGTGCAGTTCCCCAGTTACCAGCTAGTTCTGTTAAGGTTAATCCATCCCAAACAGGACAGGATCTGACCTGCTGTTGTACATAGAGTCTAAGACTCCAGAGGTTGCATCCAAGCAGGAAGGTTATAGGCAAGACCTGTTTTTAGAGCTAAGTTTTTAGCGGATGATACACAGTAGTTGTTGCAGTTACTAATCTCACTGTGACCACATTCAGGGAATTCTGAAAAGCCTGGAAGCAAAAGGCTGCTCTCTTATTTTTATGAATGATTGTTTTAATAACGTAAGGCATGCAGGTGCTTCAGTTACTGGCACTAATTTAAATTCATCAATAAATTATAAGGGCACTAAAGGATCATTAATCATAGCTTTAATAGCAGTTTTAGTGTAGTCACATTTGTTGTTTTCCAGACATAGAGCAAACATTGGTCGGGTCCCTTCCAGCCTTCAGCAGAACTCACAGGCAGGAATCATTTTCCAGCCATGACAGTCCTGGATATTCCTGTGATGGTATTTCTTTTCTCACACTGTGATTTCCTGCCATCAGGAGTACTCCTAGGCCCTGAGGGACAATGCAGTAAATATCCTTCAAAATGCACATTGGACCTCCCCAGCTTTAATTAAAAAAGGAGAAAAAAAAAAAAAAAGGCATTTCCGTTTGCTTTCTCATTTATTAACTGCAGTACTTAACTTTCCCTAACAGCTGCAGTGTGTGTTCCAAATGCTGTGGATCTTCTACAGTTTCAGGCTTCCATGTTGTCTGTATATTGTTCCTGCAGCGTATTTCTGATAACTTTGAGGTACTATTTTCAGAGACTGCAGCTAAAATTGCATGCTGACTCTTTTTTCTTATTTTTTGGTAAGCTAACAAATCTATGAGCTTACTGCTCCTTTGCAGCTACTGCAAACATTGATTTCCCTTGACTGTACTTGTTTTTCTTTACTGGCTGCATCACAGGAAACCAAAAGGTACATAATTAGAAGGTACTGCAGATCCCCATAGACCTTTTCTGTTCTTGTAGAAATAATTAAAATGTGCAATACTCGAAATATTTCAAAGGTAAAATAATAGCTAAAGATGACTTTCTCATGACTCATACATTGTGAAGAAATGAGCAAACAGAAGAGCTTCGTTCATCCTGACACTCCTGTTTCACAGTCAGCTGAATGTAGCTGGAACAAAAATTTCAGGTTTGACGTCAGTGCTGTATTCCTTCACTGCTGGAGAATTAAATCCCTTGGGTAGCACAGCTAAATGCAGTGAGGACAGGCACTCCAGCTCCCCACTGTGCCATGTGGCTGAGGTCAGCTGCAGACAAGCAGGATAGGACTGATTTTGTGATACTTCTGTTGTGGGGAAAGTAAAGAAACATACTTATATTGTTTTTACTCTGGGATGGTTCATTTGCCTTTCTAGGCCTGGAATTTTTTCCTCAGTACATAAGAGGAGAACAAAGTCAATTTGGTCACGGTCTGTTTGAATGCCAGCAGTGTGGAGCTGTTGTTAGCATGGCAGAGCTGTTCGTGAGAAGCCTAGGCCTATTCTTATTATTGCTTTACATTTTTGGACATACTCTGCATGTCCAAGTCTGAGCAGTTCAGAATATCTTATGCTTCTAAGTAACATCTTCCTATAGCAGAATTAACTCAACTCTTATCTTCTGAGCATGTTAAAAGTGAACTGTATTCCATTATGTTTACCATATGTTTTGCAAAATTAATTATAATTCCTTGGCCTGAAGATTGGAAAAGGAGTACCAGGAAGACTTGCTGAGCTGCATGAATACTGTTAGCTGTGAAGTGTCCTTTCATCTGCCTGAGAAAGTTGAGCCTAGCTTACGCTAGATGCTACTGAGGAGAAGGCCTGGGATTTTCAAGTGTTTGGAGGGGCCAGTGCAGTGACTGCGCATTCAGATGGGCATTTATACACGTGGAAGAGAACTCACAGAGGACTCAAACCTTAACACAAACACTCCCAGTTCTCAGGTTAAACACTGTTTTCTGAGTTGTTTCTACCTCTTCTGTGTGTGGTGATGAAATGTGAAACAAGTGTAAGAAATTTAATGTTCTCTTTACTAAAAAAAAAGCTTTTCTAAAATCCCATCTCCATTCTTCTCAATGGGATGCTTGCCTGAAACATGAAGATTATAGTTTAAATGAATATAGTCTATTCTGCTTCTCGTCTTTTTTTGCTGAAGGGCTTGGTGAACATACTTATTTCTTAACTGAAGCCAATTTCTCCGTGTCACCAAGCATGAGCTTTCAATAACCCATCTGCCAAAACCTCCCATTTCTTCCCTGGCAATTTCTGGGATGGGTCATTTTTAGTCCATTTACTTGAGTATCACAATTTGCATAAGATTACCATAGGGCTGGAATTGCTCTTGGCGTTGTTACACTGGCGATACAATGGTGTTGAGAGTGTTTTGAGATGTAATTGCAGGTGGCTCCTGTGTGCCCAGTTATGCGTTTTCTTCTTAATATAACTGTTCATGCAACTTACGCTGTGTTGAAAATGATGTTCCAAATATTTTTGTTCCTTTTTTCATCCAGTTACCATATATATCAAGAACAGAACTAAAAATTTGGTTACTTTGGTTTTATGGAAGCTGTGCTTTATGGACCAGTGAGCACAGCAGAAATATGTTTTATGTAATAATCCTTTGAAATAATACAGTTAGACCCAGTTCACTCTTAAAATAGCTCGTACAGCTAGTGTCAATACTTACAGAAGCAAAATATGCTTCTGCTGGTGTAGTTCATATTAACTAGGTCAGCCAATGAAATCAGCTGTCAAGGCAAAATCATACTGATGTTGGAATAGCTGTGTCTGCATCAGGGTTGCTGTTTTTGTTGGGATAGCAAAATTGTCTCTAATCCTCTGCCAGGGAGGAAACTGCTGGTGGAGACAGGACCTTAAAAAAGCGGTCCGTGTGAGCAGCTAAGGAGCTGAAAGAAACAGGTGGAGTCCTGTGTTTCCCTTTCTTCCAGGCGCTGTATCTGATAGCTACAAACGGGACACCGGAGCTGCAGAACCCTGAGCGACTCTCTGCCGTGTTTCGCGACTTTCTGAACTGCTGCCTGGAGATGGATGTGGACAGGAGAGGGTCTGCCAAGGAGCTTCTGCAGGTAAGGTGGGAAATGGCTGCAAGTGAAATGGCTGCAATATATAACGATGTGCTCATCAGCTAAATGTGAAGGCGTCAGACTAATCCCCCCATATTAGTCTCCAGACTTGATGCTTCTTAAACAAAAGTAGTATTTTCATCTATATTCAGTTCTGCGCAGTAACAAAACGACTGAACTGGAGTGGCCCCTGCTTCAGAGGCAGAAATGGCGTTGCTAACTTGTGCATACAGGAACCCAAGGAAATCAGCCACAGCTGAGTGGTCAGAGATTTGGCTGTGGGAAGGGAAGGGCTTTGGGGTGCTCCCTGTGAGCATCAGAGGGGTCAGCAGAGGGACTGCCTCAGTTTACCTGTCCTGCCCCCATTGAAGGTTTCTGCCACTAAAGTAGGGACGGCTGAATGAGACTTGTCACAGCACCATTTGCTGCCTGGCATAGCTGAGTAATGAGAGCTGCTACTGGTTTACTGCCAGGTTTCGTGGTGGGTGTGAACTGTGGTAGATACAGAGCTTTGTAGCATGTGCTCCTTGGCTGTCCCTGCTGTGAAAGTGCCAGTCAGCACAAGGAGGGGTAGGGGATGCAGCAAACAGCTCCCACTGCAACCCAAAGCCAGGTCCCTCAGTGCTCTGTCCCTAGTCTCCCTGCTCCAGTCCTAAAGCCTTAAAAATAAATAAATAAATAAATAAAGCCTAAAAGCCTGGACCTCAGTGGCCTTCAAAGCACCACAGAGGCCTAAATACCATTTGGGATAACCATTTCTAGAGGTATTGGAGTTCCCTTGGGAATAGCTCAAGCCTCTAGTCCTTTTTTTTTGACAACTAAAACAGCCTGTGTCTTTAGAAGACAGGAACCTAAGTAAGTATTTGAAGTTTCCTAAAAGAATCAAGGCTCTGGAGCAGCAAGAAACATTCCCAGAGGGCCAGCAGGGCAAAAATCCCAGCAAGCTGAAGACACTTTGATAAATGGATTAATAAGATGATGTGCCGTGTTTGTCCATGATAGCAAGGGTACTGGACATGAAGACACATGATGGTACCGTCAGTCCTATTTCTGTGTATTCCTGGTACCAGAGGAATAATGTTTGAGTCTGTAACTGAGTTTGGAAAGTAATGGTTGGTTTCTTTCTTTCCTTTGGGCAGCATCCATTTTTAAAATTAGCCAAGCCTCTTTCCAGCCTGACTCCTCTGATCATTGCAGCAAAGGAAGCAATTAAGAACAGCAGCCGCTAGTGCTTCAGGCTGGCTTTCTCCCATGCCAGCTCCCTCCAGAGCAGGACTGAGAAAAAAAAAAACTCTATAAAACCTCAACGCTTCTGCTGCAGGATGGATGGATGGATGGACAGACCAACAGTCGCAGTCATGGTGGTAGGAGGGGAGAACAACTGTTCTCCAGTCCCTCAATGAGTAAAAACTTACCACGTGTCTTCTTCCTGCTTTCTGGCTCCTTAATTTATTTTTTAAATGAAACAGGGCTTAAGACAGAGAGGTAATGACAGAAAATGCTTTGCTGCTTCAGCCATTTCTAAGGTAAAGCAAATGCAGTTGGAAGATTCCCTTCCTTCTTTCCCTGTGAATAAGCTGTACATTCACTTTTAAATTGTCAATTGTTTCTTAAAATGCAAAGTCCCTTTTATGTTATTTTTTTTATATGGTTTGGAATTGGAGAAGGGTCTTCTTCATTCATAACTCCAGACTGCACTGCCTTTTGAATACAGTCCACTCGCTGGTATTTGCCCAATCATTATACTTCTAGATGAGGAAGAAAGTGAAATTGCGTTTCCAACCAAAAATGAATCAGGAGTGGAGCAGACAAAATATCCTGTTGAGATACAGGCTTTCAACTGTGAATATATCGTGTTTCTGTTCTTGGCAGTTTGATTTGTATAACTAGTTGTAATATGGGTGAGAGTCTTACTAAAATGAGAAAGCAGAAAGATCGGTGTGCTCAGAAAGGGCTTGTGTGATGCAAAGCTGTAAGAGAGATGTGACGTGAGAGCAGGCCCAGCCTTGCTCAGCGCCGAGCCCCAGCAGATCCCTTGGCAGAGCACGGAGCAGCGTCTGCAGCCCCGGGCTGGAAGGAGGCACGAGCAGCAGCAGCCTGGTGCTGGGTGCCCCCCTTCTCCCGGGACCGGACTGATCGCCCCCAGTGGGATTAGCCTTCTTGGGTTTGTGCGGGAGCAAAGGAGGGAAAAACCAAGCTGGGCGGTGCTGCCACTTGTGAGGATGCCTGCTCCTGGCTTCTTGTAGCTCCTGGGAAAGGTCGGTAGCACCCGTGCCCCTCTTGGCAGAGGGGAAGGCAGCCAGACCGCTCTGCGGGCTCCGTGCAGGTGAGTGTCCTTTGGGCGCACGAGTGCTGTCACGGGAACTGCGACGCTGGTGCAAAGGAGTGACGGCTTCCAGGGTTCGGTTCTGCCTGAGCCAGCGCCCCAGACAACTTGGGAAGAAAGTGCATTTAAACCTGAAGCCTTGCCCTGAGCAAGAGCAAAGGTACGAAATGCAGAGTAGATTGCAGAAACATTTCGAGCCATAAAACCCGCCTGCTCTCTGCTGTCCTGCATACAGCAGGCACTGCTGAATGCAGTTCTGAGTTGCTGAGGGAGGGCGAATCCTGGATGTGACTGAGGATTGCGCTCGCCTGGTCAGCTGATCTGTAAGGGAGCAGAGTAGTTCTAGTATGCCGTTTGTGTTTTATTTATTCTTTTCTGAAAGAAAGATGGAGTGCGGCTTCACTCAGAAAAAGCATTTTGTATGGGTTATTTGTTGCTGTACTTTATTGGTACAACTAATCAAAGACCTCCAAAACAGCATTTAAATCAACACTTACCTAATGAGCAAAAAAATGTGTAAAACAGCTTTCTGCTGTAGTCTGTCATGTTTAGGCCTGGTCCTGCAAGGGGCTAAGCAGGCTTTAAGGTACTAAAAACCTTCCCGTTTTGCCGGTACGAATGAAGGATGTTTGGGCTACTCTTGAATTAGGCTATTAGCTTGTTTGGTTTTGGCTTCTTATTTAGTCACAGTCTTTGTGTTGCAAATGTCGTTAATGCTGCCGCCTAACCCACCCTCACTCCTCTGTCCATCCCAGTGTCCTTGCTGAGGCGATGGGAGAGGTGATGCTCGTTAGGTTACCACAGCTAGGTACAAATTAGCTTCTGGCGTCCTGGGGAGTACAACAGGTTTGATTTTCAGATACACAAATACGAAAAGATGCTGCTGGTTTTGTGAGGCCGCATTTTTCTCTGTCAGCTCAAGCTATCTACCTGGGAGATAAGCTTCCTTGAGAAAAAAAGAGCGACTGGGACTTGAGAAGGGCTGCCCTCTATTTGTAAAGCGTTAATCTGAATGAAACATGTTTGTATTCCATGTCAGAAGTGAAGAAACAAGTGACAGTCTTTCTTACCGGTAACAGCTTTTAGTTTATCCTACCCACAAAGGAACAGACAGCCGTCCTTTGAAAGGAAAGCACTTTTTTATGGTACACGTTTGCTGGACATACGAGATACTTACATTGACAGACTATGCTACGTGATTGCTTTTTTTTTCCTATTTATTTTCTTTAACAGTAAGTTTCTCGGCATCTCTAATTTCCAGAAAAAACTTCACAAGGATAACAAATAAAAATAGGAAATTGGATATTAGTATTATTTTTCTGACCATTGTATGCTCCAGAATACAGAATATTGTTGGCACTGGCTTTTTAATACAACTGCTTTAATAAGAGGCCTTAGTTTTTATTTTATTATATACTATATTTATTTTTCTTTGCATCAGAAAATCCAGAGATTTTTCTGCTAAAAAAATTCTGTGAGGCAGAAAGGATTCAACAGAAATCATCTCTGCCAGTGGTTCTTTTCCACATGAACTGTAATTGCCCAGCTGGGAATGTTCTACGTACAGGGAAGCTCACCTCCAGCATCTGGAGGCACCAGGCTTTGTGCTTGAGACAGTCTCAGGCACTAAATTCTGAGTCACTAGATACTGAAGGGTGGCAGCTGTTTTTATCATTTCCCAACTCTGATAGGAAATGTGGCATATTAATAGTAAAAAAAAATAAAAATAATAAATCTGTCCTGAGATGCGTAAGTCTTGTACATTATTTACAGGCGCAAGTAGTAAGTTAGGATTGACAATAGTGTTGACCTTCCAGAAAGAAGAGGCTAATATTATAAAATCTCTGGAGTTCTCTCGGGTTTTTTTTGGACTGCTATCTTCAGATTAAGCAATTAGTTTACATATATTTTTGAAAGTATTAGAAATAGGATGTTTCTGTTTTTAAATGCATAGGTAAATGTTAAATACGTTTCAAACATTTTCATTCCAAGATTTTAAAAGACTGGTTATTTGTGTTTATTTTGAACTTCATTAAATGGTTAAAGAAAGTGAAAACAAAACAAAAAAAAATCCAGAGTTTGACTATGATTCCCATCCCTGCAGTGTGTGAAAATGACCTGTTAGCTTGCTGTGGTTTTAATGAGTTCTGGGACAGAAGCATGACAGCAGTAAAGTCAGGAAAGCTTGAGAAGCACAGAAAAGATTATTTATTTAACAAAAAAAGAAAAAGGGAAAAAAAAAAAAAAAACAAAACCAATAATCATACAGAATTCCATACAGCTCCTGCACACACTCCTGGGAGCCTGCACAGGGGGGTGGAACTCAGTGCTCTCGGGGTCTGTTCACAAACTCAGGCCAGGGTTGTGTTCCTACTTCTTGTGTCCAGCACTTCTCTAAGTACGTGTCTCCTTGCCATCTTTGGATACTGCTTGGCCACCTCACTGCTACATACAAATGAAGTATTCTTTTTAGCTGTTTATGTTGGATTTCTTTGAGGCCAGTGGCTGTACCTCAGCAGGTCTTTCAGTCAGCTTCCCCCCCATGTCCTGCCACCAAAAATGAAGCACATTCCAGTCACCACAAGAAGGAAAGTAAGTACTTATCTCTGTCCTCTAAGTGTAGGAAATGTCACCATATCCTCTGATCTGTGGTTCCAGTATATGCTCAATGGCTTGGCCACAGAGTATCCCTCACACTGAGCTGTACGTGTGTGCATTTCTTCGCTTAATGGATCTGCTCTAACTGGATTAAGAGACGGAGAGAGCTCTGCTAGCACCTACCATTACAGACAGGAGCCAGTTGTTCTTTGCTTGACACCCAGGGCACACACACTGACGCCAGCTTAGCCTTGCTAAGCATTATCAAGATTGCAGTCCTGCCTTCATGGTGGACTGTTGTTCCTGTATGTGCAGAACTTAAAGATGGGGTAAGCTGATGAAGGTTCATAAATATAAACGTTCAGCTTTTGTTTTTCAACTGAGTGGGTAAATACCTCTACTTTTAGCCCCCAGTTTTCAGGAAACAGGCAGAGAACTACCATCCAAGGTCTCCTCGGGTGCAGTCTGCAATTCAGGGGTCTTTAAAATTTTTCTTTGCTTGCGTCTGTCCTTGAGCTGACAGGGTGATTTCTTTTTCTGGCTGAAACTTGCAGCATCTTGCTTATACGTGTGATTTAGAGCTGACTGCCATAATCCTGGGTATGTGTCATGTATATAAACGTTCACTTTCCTGAGCCTACAAATGGATGCATGCATCTTTGGTGACAAGTCATCTCAAAAGAAAAAAAATGATACAGGAAAGACAATGAGGGATGCTTACGTGCTCTTTGTGGGTTCCTTTTGGTCTGCCATGAAGGCGGGAGCCTGCAAACTTTGTTCTCACTGCTTAACTATTCTTCCAAGCAAGTATTCATGTTCTGCTAGCATCTGACACTGAGTGAGGAAACTAGGGAGCAGTCTAACTTGTTAGAGCTGATAATATGGAAAGGTGCTCATTGTTTTAATAACCTCTGAGTACAATGCATGAGTGTGCGTGGTGTCTCGTGCTCTCATTGAGTGGCACTGCATTCACAGCTGCCTGGGGATTGTGCTTGGTTTCCACGAGGCTCCCTAATCTTTGCCTCGCACAGCTAATGTGCCAGAGGGACGCAAAGCCCCAAGGCCACAGCTGGATGCAGTGGTCTGAGCTGGGAGCTGTTGTGAATGCAGGTCAGAAGAGCCACGTGCACATGCATTCAAACCACAGTGCTCTGAGGGAGGTAGCATATGACCTAAGAGCATGAGTATTTGTGTGTCACCACTGCTCTGGCCTTGGCTCCTTTCAAGGGCTTGAAAGAGCTAAGTTTTCCTAAGGCGAGAAACTGAAAAGGTCTTTCACAGGTCTTGCTCTTCCTAGTCTCTATGCTTGACTGTATGTTGTTCCTCTTTCTGTGCCCTCTGTTCTTCCTGCGCTCAGTGACTGCTTACCACGACTGTGTTACTGGCTCAGAGAGAGTGCTGGAGATCCTCATTTTTCTGCCCTTTGAGCTGCCTGTTTACAGCAGCATTTTAACTCTGTAAGCCTGGTAGGGATGCAGTGTTACCCTACACCTTGTGCATAACCTCCAAGAGCCTGTGGCAAGCCCTCCCAAGTACGTGCTTGCATTGAGGGCTCCCAGATGCCACAGGCTGGCATACCACTATTGCAAACATGAGAAAAATAGCAGCAAGTGGTTGTTGTTAAAGACAGGTCCTTTTGCTGCTGAACATTCTGTATTTCATTTGTCCAGCCCAGCCATAGACTTAGAGATCAGGTACAGGCTGACTACTCCCACTGAAGTTGGTGACAATTTGGTTGTTGGCTTCCACGACAGCAGAACCTGTTGCTTAATAACTAGGTGCTGATAAAGCTCGTTACAGGGGGGCAGTGGTGTCCCACAGCCAAGGGAGCAGGTGGGTAGAAGGGAGCTGCTCATCGTTCTTTTTCGCCATCATGCAAAGCTTTTCATGTCAGAAGTGGGTCAATGTAGCAAATCTGAAGCATGCAATTCTCTTACATCCATGTCAGCTGCGACTTTTGACCTTTGAGGAGAAGCTGCACAGAGGCAATTGCTTTTTGTCACACTATTTATATTAGTGTTAAATAATGCTGCTAAACCAGTCTGTAGAACAGCAACAAGAAAAAAAAAAAAAAAGCCTCTCAGCTCTTCAGGTGCAACACTCATAAGCTGCTGCTATCTGCTGTAGCAGGTGAACAAGTGGAAGGGGAGCTGCTCTAGGTGGGAACCAGTAGCAAACACTGTGTAGCCTCCAGTGAAGAGAACAACCCCTTCTTGGGTACAGCCCGAATTCACTCTGGGAGTTACTCTGGTGCACTGGTGCTGCATCTGCACTGCAGATGCCGTGCATACACAGACGTACATTTTAGGAAGATCTGCAAAAGAATTCTGTAACTCTTGACTGGATCAGGATGTAACCTACTCTAAACTCCAGTTTAGTCTGAAGCAACCAGTTTACATCTACACTGGTGTCTGCTAGATTTTTTTTTCTTCAGGGTATCCAGACAAAAGTAAACAGAGGAAGGAGCCTACATTTTCATTGTTTAACAGAAATGTATCTCATTTTGCTGTACATTCCTTTTTTAGGACATGTTATCTGTTTAAAAAAAAAAAAAAGAAAAAAGAAAGAAAAGAAAAAACAGAAAAAAAAGAAAAAGATAAAAGATAAAAAAACAAATGTGTAGTGAAAAATCTTCTGTAACTTTGGATTAAGAGGTAATTATGATCTTTTTAAAAAGAGAACTAAGTTATTTACTTTGTAAATGTGCTGATGGCATGGATCCATCTTACTGACCTCAGCATCTTTTATTTTTTTTTAAAGATTTTGGGTTTTGTTTCCAATATTAAGTTATTTTAAATTGTGGTTGAAGCAATAGAAAATTGAAATATGGATTGTGCATGACTGTGTCTTGAGTGTAAAAATATTGCAGTTTGAAACTTGGACCTAAAGTATTGCAAATAAAAGTTATAAATACCAGTGGACTGTGACTGCAGCTTTTCCTAACAAAACAGGCTCAGGGCTGGCTGAAGATACAACAGCCTCAATCATCTGCAGTCAGAAAGACTTCATCTGTTTGGCTGTTTGTGCTTTTAGCTTTCACCTGTGCCACCAGAGTATGATGTTATGGAACAGGACTTACCTTCTACAAGCCTGTATTTACTCTGCTGCTGGAGCTTCCTTTGTCCACGACAGCAGACAGACAGTCTTTTTACTGCTCTCATTTGCAAAAAGCCATGGAGTGCTGTGACTTTTCAATGTGCTCTGTCTCTGTTGCCCCATGTTTACAAAAATAACACCCCTTCCTCATGAATATGGAGAGTTACACATTAGCCACCTCACCTGCCTCTACCAGCATCTCATAAATCTTAAAAACTGCTTACTGAACACCATTCACTTCAGTTCTTGTATGGCTGCTCAGAGAAAGCAGCAACAAACTCACCTGGCCAGATTTAAAGCAATGCCACATTTAAAGGTGTATGAGCAATCTCAGCTCTCCTCCTGTGTGTACTGGGAGTCCCTTGTACTGCTGCATGGCTGCCCTGCATCCCGTAACTGCTCTGTCTTAGAAGGCTTCCCTGGTATTTGCTAATGGTGGAGGAAGGTGGGGAAGCAGAGGCACCAGCCGTGTGCTGTAGGGACATGTTAGCTGGCCTTCTCTGTCAGACCTCAGCCTGGCCTCTGTGCTATGTCCCATCTCTCCACTTTGTGCTCAACTCACGCCTGGATGTTGACGCCAAGGCTGCACCTACCTCTAGGCCCACCTCAAAGGCCTTCTCCAGCCCCGCTGTGGCTCTCACTCTCACAGGGCATTGTGCTGGCTGCCTGCCTCACTCAGCCACAGTCCTGCAGCTCTAGCACCTCCTGCTCCCACGCTGTGCATCCAGTGGCTCCCCTGCTGCTGCTGTGGGTCACCTGGGTAAATAGGGGACAAACACTGCAGTGACAGCACCCACTGAATGCCAGCGGCTCACCAGCCAGGCACACGGGAAACCTCCCAACAGTGCATGCAGCACGGCTAGCGAAGGGCTGCGCGTTGGTCTCATAACACCAGATGGCTGTGAGCATGCATGCCAGTGCCTGCACGGGTGCACGCAGACATGAGGCCCTTATAAAACTTTCTAACACAAACAGAGCTAGCATTTTGTGTGTGTGTACATTAAAAAAAAAAAAAAATAGGTAGCCCTCTCCCACAGACCCTTATGGGGGGAGTCTCTAGCAATTTACATGTACTTTACATATATGTACACATGCAGCAGTAGATATACATAAAAAGGAACGCCTTAGCTAGCTATGGCACACATCACTCAGTAGCTCTCGCTCTATAAGACATTTATGCATAGAGAGCATGACAAATAACAGTTGTCTCCTGTTAGTTACCTATACTATGTAGTATACATGTATTTTATAAATATATATAAAAATGTGCACACATACATATTTAATATTATGTAATACACCTATAGGTGGCAAGAGTGTTTTAGATTGTTATATAAGGGTCTCTATAGTGTGTATGGGTATATACAATAGAAGTAGCTAGCGAGCGAAACACAGAAGGGTACACTCTGTATGTACTTACAGCGCTACACATAAATGTACATACCATGTAACATATAGTTAAAAAAGGCTCTCACAGAATGAGAGCAGTACCCATATGTAACTCTTTCTCTGGCCCCATATGGACAATGTACACACATTAAATATATACACTTATTATAGTTACACCAAGGCAGAGCACACCTTATGTAACTACATTAACGCTCTCTAGCTCTTCACATATTTATATAGAATCATAGAGTGCTTTAGCTATCTACATATACATAAAATAAACACACACACACATATATAGAGAGAGAGACCCTTCCTTAATAGAAGAGTCTCCCTAGGTGGCTTATATATACCTATATTACGATGTGTACCTACATACATACTAAAATATACGTTACATGAGCTATATAAATGCCGTGTGTATATATTATACAGTGTACTTTATATATAAAATACTTACACATACAGAAACCATTATATAAATGTTATACTGTCCCCATCGATATATATTACATATTTTGTATATACACTGACATATGACTACATAACCTGTATCTATTAGAGATAGAAAATGCATATAGTTTGCTAAAAAGGAATTTAAAAAAAAAAGCATTTGTGCATATGTATATATACACAAATTATAAAATGTTCATCGCTATATGTACACAAGATACTATATAATATTTATAGCTAATTAGAATATGTTACAGAATTATATACATACGTGTATCATATATAGTATCTCATGTATATACACACACGTCAGGACAGATTAAGAGGGGGGGGGGGTCAGTGTGTGTGTATGGCCAGACACAAAAAAAAAAAAGGGGGTGGGGACACAGTGTCCATCCGTATCATCCCCCCCCCCACACACACCCCATTTATTGTCATATACATAAATGTTATGAGACAGACAGAGACCGTTCTATAATCATGTAACTCTGTAGCATTCACTAGCCTGGTAGATAATATATAGAATCATAGAATCATAGAATATCCTGAGTTGGAAGGGACCCTTAAGGATCATCAAGTCCAACTCTTGACACCGCACAGGTCTACCCAAAAGTTCAGACCATGTGACTAAGTGCACAGTCCAATCTCTTCTTAAATTCAGACAGGCTCGGTGCAGTGACCACTTCCCTGGGGCGCCTGTTCCAGTGTGCAACCACCCTCTCTCTGTGAAGAACCCCCTCCTGATGTCAAGCCTAAACTCCCTGCCTCAGCTAGTACACGCTATATGTGTACACACTATATGTGTGTACACATATAGTTCATATGTGTACACACACACACACACACACACACACACAAAAACACCCTAGACCTTTATATAACAAGTTTAACTCTTTTTGTCTCTCTCTCTCAATATTTGTAGAAGATAGATTATATATTTTATACATGTGCACACACTTCTACTCTTATGTAACCCCAGCTATATGTATGTACATGTATATGCACATACACCCCATAAAATGTTCCCTCTCTCTAACCATCTGTATATAATATAGTACCTATCATCCTATACCACACTGTCTATACATATATATATTTAAAGAGTATAACATATACTATAAACTAAATATCATATATTTATTTATATATGAGTGTACCTGTATACACACAAGAGTGCCTCTCTGCTTACACCTATGCGGGGGGGGGGGGGAGGGGGGGGGAACGGAGGGGGAGAAAGAGAGAGAGAGAGAGAGAGAGAGACACCCTTCTATAATTCTCTTGAGCCATCTACATATATGTGTATATATATATATTTATCTGTTGAAATATGCATGTGTATATTTAATATGTATATATAGATATACACAGATAGAGCCCCTTAAATATGTAACACCATATTATATGCATGGGTATATCTATATACATACACATAACGATACATACATCTATATATACACATATATAATATTTTCAATTCATCCATGTATTTTTTTTATATATATGTAAGACATATATATGTAGGATGAGAGCGCTCTCACCTATTTTATGTAACTGGACAAGACTGTATTTCACTCTCATCTGTATTATATATGTAAGAGAGACATATCTAACATACATGCTATCTACATATATAACAGATTATACAGTATTTTAGTATATAAATATGCACTTACACACATGCACTTTCTCTAGCCATCTATATATCATATACTACTTATGTATACATATGTAGACTCTCTTCTGTAAATATATAACACACTCCATGTGCATTCTATAGAATATAATATGTATATTTGTATCTATGGGTGCATACATATGTATATACACATGCGCACATACAGACTCTGTTTCTCTCTAGTCAGCTATATGGAGTGCTAATGTATATTTTATGTATATGTGTCTGTGTATACAGACATACAGAGCATTTTATATTTGGGAGGGGGGCAGGAAAACAGCAAGAGTGTTCTATAACTAATACTCTCACAAGCCATCCTATCTTTTTTAAATACGGGTGTGTATATATAAGTGTATACACGTATTTAAAACTTCTATATAGATATATAACCACATAACACTATCTACCTTAATAGATACACAGAGCCTTAACTAACGATGTAACTTTCTATCCATATAGTATACATTTATGTTTTACATCTTTAGTGTAATGCATGTGTGTGTATACATAAATACAAATGTATATTTTATAACACAATAGCTGGAGAGAAGGGGACATGCTACGTAGTTACAGAAGGGTCTCTGGCTCTCCAGCCATCTATGGATGTATGTATAGGGTGTGTGTGTGTATACCTGTGTATATAACCATATACATATATATATACATGTACACACACACATAAAACGCACATATACACATACACAGAGACCCTTAAATAGCTGTGTAAAAGTCTTGCTATTGCCATATTATATATATATGTATGCACACATATGCAGAGTGACCCTTACAGAACTCTCTAGATGTTGATTGCATAATACCTAATACAAACACAAAGCGTAATATGCATAGGGATGGAGATATAAATAAGGGCCTGTGCATTGTATCTAAAAACTATGCCCGTCAATGGCCAGAGTGTGGCACAGCTGCAGCCGGAGGGGGGGTCTCTCTCCCTCTCCCTCCCTCCCCCACCTGTGTGTACCTGTGGGTTCTTTCTCTGTAGAAACAGACATGTAAGAACTGTGTGGACGTGCGGGGACCGTTTCGTTGCCAGCCCCCCTGTTCCCGCACAGCCCCCTGACAGCGGCAGCCCCGCCGGGCCCGCCCGTCCCTGCCCCCCCCGCCCCGCCTCACGGGGAGCCGCCTGCGGCGCCTCCGGGGCCGCAAGATGGCGGCCGCAGCGCCGCCTGTGGGGCCGTCGCGTAATGGCGGCCGCCCAGGCGCGAGGCGCGGGCGCCCCCCTGCGGCCGCTGGCGGGGCGGGCTCCAGCCGCGAGGAGTTCCTCGCCCCGCCGGGCCCCGCGGGT